CAGCCTCGCTTCTCCGTGCCTCAGTTTCCTCCAACTCTAGCATGGAGATGAAAATACCCAGCACCTAGCTCATGCAGTTAATGTGGCAATGGGTGTTACAGACTCAACCTGGTGCTCAGATTTAGCACGTGCTCATTTAACATGAGCTCTTCTTATTATTTTTAAAAATATCACCAAGTCAAATCTCTCCGGTGTTGCTTTTATCTGGTGGATGGGCCAGGGGCTTATCCTGTTGTGAATGTGCATTGTTTTCACAAACTCGCTCACCATGCCCATCCTATGGCCCTGCTGCTGGGCTCTGCCAAAGACCCTGGCCCATCACAGCTAGAGGCTGAACCTTACCATTACTTCCTGGATCGTTTAGCGAGGCCTTTCTTGATACTGTTTGGAAGGTCAGGATCTTCATTTGCATTGAGCAGGGAGAAATTTAAGTCATAGGGTGGCGGCTGGTGGGAGACCTGGAATCCTAGGCTCAGCACAGAGAACTGGGCTGGTCACAGCAACTTCCTGCCCCAGGTGCGCAGGGCCCCGCTCCTCTGTTGTTCCCCCTGCCTTCCGTGTCTTCTCATTTGGTCCCCTGTGCTCTCCCTCCCAAGCTGGCCCGATGACACCCATCTCTGCTCTGTCAGCACCACTATGGACATGCGACAGCTAGGAAAGGGACCAGGATTCAGTTGGCTACCAACTCCCAAAACCTCTGAGCCACCGGCCTGTATGAGGGCTGGGTGAGCACCAGCATGGAGAGATGGCCATGGTATGTTTGAGCAAAAAAAGTGAGAAAATCAACTGGAACAGATGATATAATCCAATTTATGTTAAAACATCAGTAAAAAAAAAAAAACAAAGAAAAAAGGGGACCTGCTCAGAGGTGTGTGTGTATGTCGTGGTCCCAAATAGAAGTATCCAAGCAATGGAACCACCTCAAAGGGATCGTCCATTTTTAAGTCTTACTGTTGAAATCAACAAAGGCCTGGGTGAGGTGAGGGGCTCCCCTGGGGATGCTTGTCCTCCCAGCGACAGCAGTTAGCTGTCCCTCTGTGCCAGGAAAAACTATGACTTTAAGATGCAGGATTGTGATTGCAGGAGGTTTCACCCCACCAACTCAGGATCCACCCATTGGGGAGAGAAACTCAGGAGGGCTTCCAGAAGACGCCAGGGTGGCAGAGTCCTACTGTCATCTCTCTTGCTTTCAGGGACCCTCGTGATAACTAAACATGGAACCAACTCTGACTGGGCAAGGGGCAGGACTGGGATATTCTGGGCCAGCTCTCCCTTCTCTTCGGTATAATGACAAATGCCATGGGCGGGGGGGGGGGTACCAGGGATTGAACACAGGACCTGGCAGTTGTGAGGCAAGCGGTGGCACCACTGAGCTAAATCCTTGGCATGAATGCCATTTTTAATCTGGGTGGTCATATACCTTCCTATCACTGTGGGACAGTGGGGTTATAAAAGGATTCTTATTTTCTTTGCACTGGTAGACTCTCTATTATATGTTATCTGGAAAATAAGATATCTTAATAAAAAAATGTACCTTTGCTTTCATTTCTGATACTTAAATGGAGCCACTATCCTATGAATGGAAATTATATCACCCATTGCAGTACAAAGCCCTTGTCCCAAGAAAAGCAAACATGACAAACCTGGCACTCTGATGGAACTCTCTGGAAAGAGTTTATTATGGTTTAGATCTAGAATATCCTCCAAAAGTCTCAGGTTCACACACAGAGCCCTGGAAGGTGACCTGACCATGGGGGTGCTACACTCATGGTGGATTCGTCCATTGGTGAGTTCATGGATGACTGTGCTGCCAGGAGGAGGGGCCTGGTCAGAAGAGGTGGTGCCTGGGGGCGTGACCAGGAAGGATGCATTCTTGTCCCCTCTCCTCCCTTCTATCTCTGCTTCCTGGCTTTATGACATGAGCAGCTTTTCTCTGTCAGGCATTTATCATGCCATTTCTGCCTTGGAACTGGCCAACCATGGACTGAAACTTCCAACACTGTGAGCCAAACCAAACCTCTCCTCCTTTAAGTTGCAGGTGTCGGGTCCTGGGCCTCAGCAATCGGAAAGCTGACTAATACAGGGACCCTCTCCACCAGAGTTGTAAATGCTCCAACCATATGACAACTTCCTATCTGATGTAAGGAAAATCCCACTTCCTTACAACAGCTGTCAAGCCTTACCCAGTCTAACTAACTCACGACTCTTCTCTGGCCCTCTCTGCTCTTGCACTGCCCTTCCTCCTCCGGACCTCTGCTCCACAAGGCTCACTCCCTCACTTCCAGGAGACAGCTCCTCAAACTCCACCTCAACACAAAGCTGCCCCTGTTCACTGGCCCCAGATATAATACAGCTCCCGCCTATCTTTCTCTATCCCTTATTCTGCCCGATTCCTCATCAGCCTAACACCTCCTGACACAGGATATGCTTGTTTATCATCAGTGATCTTCAGCACTGGACTGTGGAGAGGACCGTAGCAACCTGCAGTGCTCATGGCTGTTCAAGGGGACAGCTGCTCCCCACTGTCACTGATGGTGTGTGAGAATGTGGAGCCCAAATCTTCCAATTTTTCAACAGAAGCCGCTGATCAGATTTTCCCATAGAACCTCCTGATCCTCAAGTGTCAGCTAGTGATTCAACACTTCAAGGCACTGTGCAAGGTAGGGGGAGGCCAGCAGGACACGTCTGCAGCACGTGGCTGTGCGAGCCCAGAGCCACCGAGAAGCTGAAGCTCTGTGATGTGCTGAGAGGTCGGGGTGTTTCCACAGTGAAGGTCGGGGGAGCCTATGCGCCCCCTGCGACACACATCTCCTCCTGCTCCATCTCAGGCTGCACTTGCAAGCAGTGCAAGGGGCTGAGTATGTTTAGCCAGGCGCCTTTCCCCCTCTTCCCTGTTCTGATCACATCTCTTAATGCTTTTGCCTTTGCAGGAAACTGGCTGCCATCTCACTCTCTGCTTTGATAGGAAAATAATTCCACGGGGAAATTGACTGTGAAGCCTTAAGGAGTGCCCCCTCAGGATGGGGAGAAAAGGGAAAGAAAGAAAGAAAGAAATGCAATCAAGCACTCCGAGTGGAGAAAATTAAGTGCTGGCGGAGGGAGCAACAGCCGTGCCGGTCCAGAGCCTGCGCACACAGGAATGCTAATGGCCACATTGCCGCCCTGGGTACAGGGAGCTGGGAGCCGGAGGAGCAAGGACTATGTGTTCACTTAACAAGATGCATTGGATGCCACCGGGCGAAGGCACATGGCCATGGCCTCCGGCTTGAAGGCCGCACAGGATTCTGAGACATGGCTTGGGGTGGGGGGTAGGGGGGCAGGTAACAGGCTGAACTTGGCTGCAATCCAGCCTCCAAGCAAACCAAGAGAAACCGAAGACTTGTTTTCCACAGACAGATTCTGAGCCTGGGATTATCTGATGGACTCAAAAGTCAATTGTCTGTGAGGGGGTAGGGGGTATGTTTTTAAGGCAATAAAGCCCACAATTTTGTCCATTGTTTCATCCTACTTTTACAGACTGGATGAGGAAACACGGTCACTGATTGGGTCACTGAATAGAAAAGGAACTGTTTCCTCTTTCTATTCAGGAAGACAAACCTTCCCAGCTGATGAAACCAGGATGTGAAACAAGGTGATCCCTCATTCCTTACCTGTCCCTCCTTCAGAGGTAAACAAGCAAGCACAGGCACGCAAACGGAAGCTGGAGGAGCGCTTCCTGGACAACATTTCCATCTCTGCTCTGGGTGTTTTTCACTTCACGGGAGCACTTTTGGTACAGACGCAACACGTAGAAGCAAGACTCTGCCCTTGGAGTCTGCGGCTGGGGCCCCGGCTGAGCAACGCTGCCCTGGCAAAGGGGCTGGGTCCCGCTCGGCCACCCCTACCTGCCATCTCTGCAACCACCATGCCCATTCCACGCGCTGGCCGGGCCTGCCATGTACCCCCAGGTCTCTCCCACTTCCTCCAACCTCATCTCATCCCACGCCGCACTGTGTGCCTCCACGAGCCCAGAAGGAGCACCAGCATGCTGTTCCCTCTGCTTGGAATGCTCTTCCCCTTGCCCCTCTCCGATCTGCTCCTCCTTATCCATAAGGTGTCAAGGGCAATGTCACCCCGGAGAGAGGCCTCCCTCCCCTTCCAGCCCACACATCTCTCTGCTCCGCTCCCTCTTCTGATTTCTTCCCAGAACTCCTCAACACCAAGATGGCTTCCTCCTCCTTCCCTGTCTCCCCTGTGGAATAGAGCTTGCCTAGGAATGGCTACCTCCCAGCCTTGTTCATGTCTGTACCTGGGGTGCTGAGCACAGGCTCTGAGGCTCAGGACCGGTGTTTGGCAAACGCTGGCGGAGGGAGAAGGGACAGTTCAAGAGATTCTGAAATGAAATGGCCACTGCGGGCAGGGATGAAAGCCCCTCAGCAGCTGCACTGGCTGCCGCTCCAATGCGGACTCCTCTGACATGGACTCCGGGTGTTCGCACCACGTGGTCTCTGCTGCCCTGGTCAGGGCCGATGGCGAAATGTGTGACAGAAGGCGTACAGCGCACACAGGCCGGGGTCAGCTCGCCGGGTGCCCTCGCCCTGCCCCATCCTCTCCCCCAGAGCTCAGGACCAGGACCCACAGACGTCAGCCCCAGGAAGCCTTCCTGCACACTACACCTCTGCCCCTGCGGCCACTCTGGTTGCAGGCAACTGGATGCTGTGGCTCGGCTCTGACCTCGGCCACAGATGCCTCTGTACCCCATCCTCTGGGTGGCAGCTGTCAGGTGCCCACCCTGTTGTGTATACCACAGTGTGTGTGAGCAACACAAGAGTGAAGGAAGTCAAGGGCCGGGGATTTAGCTCAGTGGTTCTAATGCCTGCCTCACAAGCACAAGGACCCGAGTTTGATCCCCCGTACAAGTAAGAAGTTGGGAATAAGGATGGACACACCACCAGCAGAAAGCACCCCGAGCCCCATTGTCCTGCAGAAGCTGTAAGCACAAGGCCAAGGCCAGTCCCTACCTGCGAAGGAGCCCCAGAACCATCCTGGGCCTTGACAGGCACATCCATGCACGGCTCGAAATCTTCTGAATGGTCTGGAGGAGGCTCAATGTGCAGTCTTGGGCCGGCTTCGGTTCTGATCTGCACCGATTTCTATGCAGAAAAATTCAGACCTTCTCAGACAGGATGGAATGAACATCCCTCCTCCCTCAGGGGCAAGGGCTACTGCTGGAGGGGCTGGCTGCAGGAAGCAGAGTCAGGGCTGGGGGCTGGTGTGCAGCAGTGCTCATGTCGTGCTCAGAGGCCTTATTTCTTTTATGGTGCTGGGGACTGAACCCAGACCTCCCGCAGGCTCACAAGGGGTCTTCCCCGAGCTACAACCCCATGCTTCTGTGCTTTCTTTACATGTTGAGATAGAGTCTTGCTAAGTTGCTCACACTGGCCTCGAACCTGTGAGCCTCCTGCCTCGGGCTCCAGACTCGCTGAGATCTCAAGCATGTCCCACTGTGCTTGGGTGCTTGAAGGTCTGCAGTGGTTCCTACCTGAACTTTCGAAGTGTGCCCAGTGGAATTTTTTTAAGATAACATTTTGGTTTGAAATTTACTAGTAGAATTTTAGCAGTAGTTGAACTTCTGAAAAGGGTCTTTGAGATGTCATTTGGTTCCAGGTTTGGGAAGCCGTGGCGCCCTCATCTATATACCATGAACGTCCTAAAATGAAATAAAATGCGGAAGCCTCCCCAAGCCCATTGGACGGGGGCTCTGTGAAGGGACCTCTCTCTCTCCTGCTTTCCCTGGGTCACCCTTGGGGCGCACAGCCTGCAGGCCATCCCCAGAGCACTGCCCCGCCTCCGCACTGAGTTCCCGGATGTGCACATGACGACGCCCCCTTCCGCCACTGGGCGGACTGCGTGAACACACAGGCAGAAGTGCGTCCTCCACGGTGCCCGGAGCGGGCAGATACCAGGCTCCCCTCGCCCAACTCCCACTCCTGCCGAGGGAGTGTGGAGGTGCTGCTCCCTACGTGACCGCTGGGGCAGGGCCAGGCCCCTCTGCGCAGGGGCAACACACGTGCCAGCCTCCTGTGTTCAAGCTACTGTTACTTAGAATCCTCGAGAGCAGCCAGACCGAGAGAGTTCTCCAGTCAGTCTGACCCACTGTCCCAACACGGTCACTCCTGACAGGCTGAACAGGGCTACGCAGGGCCCCCAGGATCTATGTGCCTTCTCCCACACACACCTTGCTTATTCCTTTCTGGGACCCACTTCCCTCCCCACTCTCAAACCGAGCGTGGCGCAAGGGTGGGATGTGAGCCAGGCCTGACCTCTGGGCCCACCAGCCCTTCACAGCACAGTCAGGCCGGCTGACTCAGGCCGGGAACAGACCTACGGCAGCCAATGAGAAGGACCTGGGATTCCAGTTAGAGCCACAGCAAGGACAAGCTAAAGTGAGGGCCACTGGGGCCCATTCTGTCGCTCACACAGAGAAAGGTTGCTGGAGGCAGAAGCAGAGTCCTGGTGGGTTTGTTTAGAACTCCTGGATCCAGCTGCACCTGAAGCAAGACCACTGAAACTTTTTCGTTTTTAAGCCTGTGTGAAGAGGATTTATGCTATTTGTGACCAACTCTTGACCCCCACTTGTGCCTTAAACCTTCCCTCCTCTGTTCCTTTGCTTACACTGTTCTTCCGATGTCAGTGCCATTTGCCCCAGTCTTCTCCATGAACCCAAATCCTGCCTGGCTTTGGAGACACTGCTCTCTGCCCACTGCTTGACTCTCCTGGGGCAGCAATGTGCCCTGGGGAGAGGGTCCGAGCACCAGCAGGCCTTGCAGCTTGGCACGGCCATAGGCTCCAGGTGCAGCAGTGTGAAGGATACAGGGCAGGCGTCTGAGCGGAGTCCAGCTCTCCTAGTAGTCACAACAGACTTGGGGATGCAGGACCTCTGCCCGTGGCTCTCCATGCTCTTTGCTGGCTGGAGTGTGGCTGGGATGCCTGGTAGCGAGGACCACGAAACAGTGGAAAACAGGAACCTCCCCTGGAGGCCACCTCCAAATGCTTCTTCCTATGAGAGGAGCAGCCACTGCTGTGGCCAAGTCTCTGCGGCCCCTCTCCTGTGGAACACAGCGGCCCTGGCTGGCTGATACCCTTCTCTGGCACACAGCCCTTCTGTGTCTACGCTACAGCCTCTTACCCATGGGGAGGGCCTGGCTATAAACTCCGGCGAACTGGTTCAGTCCCCGCAATGCTCATGCTTGCTCCCTGTGTGACCCTGGTAGCCCCCCACCTCTGGCACTCGTGATGCCCTTGACCCAGTGATGCAGGCTGAGCCCTCAGGGCTTTGGCACTGCCCTGCGTGAGGCCTTTCTAGATGTCCCCTGCAGATGCCTTGCTCGCCTCTCCCTGGCCCTGCTTCTGAGGGACAGAAGAGGACACAGAGCCTGTGTACTGACTCTATGCCCCGATATGGGAAGGGACTCAAGGGTAACTGGGCCATGTGTTTCCCTGATGTCCTGGCACGAGGACCTGCTCCCCCTGTAACAGTAACTTCCCCAGGGGTTAGGAAATGCAGCTCTTATAGCAATGAAGAAGACACCGATGCTGGGGACCCACTGCCCTCAGGACTCTGCCCTGCTCAGGACAGAGCTGCTTCTGGCCCCAGATCACACTGTCGCTGCTTTCATGCGGATGCCGTGTTGCTTAGTGTGGACTGGGTGCCATCCCTAGCATGCTGGGTGTGTTTTCTCGCTAAGCTCTCCTGGACTGGGGAGGGGGACCTAAGACACAAGGGTGTGGGCCCACCCAAGGTCACGTAGCTGGGAAGCCAGGGAGATGCAACAGCAGTTGACAGGGTGTAAGTAGGGGTGGGTGGTACCCCATTGTGGCCATGTTGGTACCCCAAGGGCACAGGGCGGGGCAGAGCTGGGAGGCAGAGACTGAGTCCTGTCTGAGGCTTGAGCTCCTGGACAAGCCTTGCCTGGATGAAAGAGCCAATCAGGAGGAGGATGCACACCCACAAGGGCAAGCAGCACCCAGCACCCACGCAGGAGAGCCCAGCCTCCCCTCCCAGCATTCAGCACAAATGCAGCTTCACTAAGATCACTGGGAGCAAACAGGTTTGCAGGGGACCTTAAGTCACTCGGCAAACCCTTCCCAAGCACTGACTGCACACAGGCTCTGGAAAGCTAACAGCCACCTTCTGGAGCTCACGCCACCCCAATGGAAGGCCGTGTTTATGCAGCAACATGTGACAAAGTCAGCGTGGACCAGAGTTTCTCAAGCTGAGTGGGAGCCTAGGAGGGGAATAAATAGGCACTCCATCTGGCCTGCTCTCCCACCCCCATCCCAGGCTGAGAATGGCCTCACCCAAGGCTGGCAGCCCCCAGCCCTGGCACCTGCACCCTTGCCTCCCACCTCCCCACCTGTGCATGGGATGAGGACTGTGCTCCGGACTGGCCCCTTGCTTGGCACATGGCTGTGCCAGGAGTGGGTGTTCCCCAGCAAGTGGCTGCTCTTTCCTGCCTACTTGTATGCCCAGACCTGGGTGGACCTTGGCAGTGGACACACTGGAGGATTTAAATGCCCTAGGTCATTTCTATCTGAGCCACACTTGGCCTAGTTCATGCCGAGTTATTTGTGTATAACCACGACACTCCTTGGTAAAGTGTTCTAAGAGGTGTGCTTCAAAGCTCACTGGCAAGTACTGTAAAAGAGCAGGCACGGAGCGCACGGCTGGCTGTGCAGTATGTCGATGGCTCCCTCTAGAGGCAGAAGAGCTCTGCCGATGCCCACAGAGGCAGGGTGGTGGGACACGTCAACCTTCCTTGATCTGTCTGTTCCTCTCAGATATGCTGATCTCTGATAAATAACAGCGCTTGACATGCTGACGGTCTGTGGTGTGCAAGGTCACGGGGAAGGCTGATGCTTTGTGGGTGTTTCATTTACTGTCCTCACTGCAGGGGTTCAGAACCCAGCTAGAGGGTGCCAGAGGCAGAGGTCTCCAGGGTCAAACTTTCTCTAAAGAGCTTTCCTAGAGGTGCCAGCTGCCCGGGCCACAAGAAGAAACTGGATATGGCAGCCGAGGGAGCGCTAAGCCTGGCTTTCATCACTGCGGGAACCTGCAGGAGACCTTTCAGGAAGGCCCACCCTGCGGTAAATTGCTGCAAGGCCAATCCCTTCACTACCAATTTAATGCTAAGAGCTGATGACGTTCATCAAATCTGACAGCATTTTGGTAAACGACGGCTCTGTTGATTAGGCCGCTGTCCACCCAAGTATTACAAGGCTGGGGAAGCCATAAATCTTAATCCACGGCTAGCAGCAGAAAGATCTAAGGCCCAGAAGTAGTGGGGGAAAGGACAGTAAGAACAAGAGCCCATATATCATGGGCACCCATTCTGCTGTGAAAGCAGCAGCTCAGAAGCCACAGCTGTGGCCAGGAGGCCCAAGCACCGAGATAGGCTGCCTTGGGGAGGGTCTCTCGGGGAGCACAAATCTGTCTCCAGGAGTGGATGACTCTGTGACCCTGGCTGGGGGACCCTCAGGCCTGTGTGCCCAAGGCAGCCCTTTGCTTTGGGTAGCTCCCCCCAAAGTGCTTCCTGATTGCTGGAGAGGAAGGGAAGGAAATCAGCTCCATGGGAAGAGGCAAAGGTACTGGGCTCAGTCAGTGGAAATGGGCCGTGTGACTCCAGGGGTTCGGGGGTGACTTAAGCAAGCCCGGCGAGTAGGAGGGCTGAGGCTGTGGGCAAGGACGGGAGCCCTACGACTGCATGCGGCCCTGCTGACCTGGTCAATGTGAATAAATGAAGAGACACTGCGGCCCCATCACTGCCTCCTGGAGAGCGCTGCCATGTAGGGGCAGCCCCACTCTGGGCCGGGCTGGGGTCCCTTTCCTAATGCGCTGGCTTTTGAGAACCAGCCAGGGCGTGACCTTGCTGCCCACCCCTGTTGATTCCAAGGCTGGGGAAGTCTGTGCAGAACCCGAGGACAGACTGTTCCGCTCAGTCCTGCAGAGCCAAACACCTTTCTTGAGCTAGAGATGCAGCCCAGTGGCAGAGCGCCTGCCTGGCTCGAAGGCCCTGGTTCATCCCCAGTACTGAAAGAAGCAAAAAAATGGGGAAAAAAAAACTATCTCCCCATACTTTCCACCAGAGAAGCTTGCAACATAACTCTACTTCCTGAGGCCAAAGGACAACAAGTCTGTCCTCCCTCGTGACAGTAATGATAGTGTAGCTGGCGCACCGGGTCCATTTGCTGTGCCAGCTCCAGCCCCTGGGGTGGAAGCCGGGCAGCCTCCTGGCCCTATTCCACACAGCTTCAGGACAGAAGGGTTTGTGGTGGACAGAGAGCTTGGCCCCAGTGCCAAGACCGCAGACCACCGAGGTAGCAGAGGGTACCCACAGGCCTGGTGACAAGGACGAGCCGAGACATCCAACTCACGTCCCTCGGAGAATATCCACAGACACTGAGTGCCATGGAGAAGGTGTGCTGGGGGTGTTCTGTGAGTCAGTAGAAGCTGGGGGACAGGGACAGCTGTGGGGGGCTGTGGGGGAGAAAGGAGCTGCTAGGCTCAGGGAGCCCTGCATCGAGGCTTCTGTGTGCACTGCAGTTTGAAGCCCTAGACAGGCCTTTCTGCTCGCAGCAGGGACGGCGGGGCGGGGGGCGGGGGGGGCAGCTCCTGTGCCCCCTTTCCGGACTCCTTGCGGGGCTGAAATCCAAACTCCCTGGCAGCCTTGTGGACCCGGGGTAATCCCTCTTCTCCTCCCTGCGACCTGACCTCCAGCCACCCCTGTGCTCTTGCAACCTCACACCAGCCACCCTCCCTCCTCTCAGCTGGGTCTGGGTTGCGTCCCATGTCCCTGGCTATGCCCTTCGCTGTCCCCTCACCCCTGGCAGGTCTTGCCCAGCTGCCTCCAGCACGCAGTGGGTCCCTGTTTGGGAGGCCCCGGAAGCCTCTGCTCCCTCCTCTTGCTCGAGTGATGCTCCCCACCACGGTCCACTCTGCCACCTTTCTCTCCTTCCCAGCACTTGTCACCTCGCTCTGTCCTTGGCCCCACTCCACATAAGCTGCAGGAGCGCCGGGCCTGGCTGCCTCTCCCAGTGCTCCAACCCAGCAGGTTCTCCGTTAAGTGGCCACAGTTCGAGTGCAGGACACAGCACTGCGAAGCGCCCTGGGGACTCCAGGCCAGGTGCCCTCCCATCTCCCCCTTCGTCCACTCCAACAGTGGTCAGTACTATCTGTCTGCCACGTGTGGCTCCGACCTCTGCAGACAGCAGCTCAGCCACCACTCCTCAACCACCAACCCCTCCACCTCTCAGGGCAGACAACAGGCTCCACACTGTGAGGGCGGGCAGCTTACCCAAGGTGGCACAGCTGCTGAGTCGGGCACCTGGGCGTGGCATCCCGGCTGCTGGGGGCCAGGGGCTACACTCCTGGCCACTTCTCTGGACTTGAGCGTCACCTGCTACCAGGTGCTCCGAGCTGAAGAGCCAGACGGCCCCTGCTGGAGGCCCACCTGACCACACTGCACACGTGCATTCCCAGCAGCCCCGGGAGGCTTGACAGATGTGAAGAACAAAGTTCAGAAGGGTTATATCCCCTGCTCCAGGGCACAAAGCTAGAAAGCAGTCAGTCCAAGGCCTGTGCCTTCCACACTCAGAGGCCACAAGTGCAAATACCCCAGTGAGCTGGGCCGGGGAGGGGAGTGGAAATGCCGTGGGCACAACCCCTGGGGGCAGTGGCAAACAGCAGCTCACACTAGCCCAAGTGGGCAGCAACTGCTTGGCCAAGAGTAGGGGCCAGATCTAGCCATTATTCTAGGGAAATAAGGGTCTAGGTGTTTTACCTACAGAATGTTTTGAATTTAAGTGTTGACAAGTGTCTAAAAATTTTTTTAAAACCATAGGTCCAAAAATATAGTTGGGGGACAAGGAAGACCCGCAGACTTCATGTCGCCAACTTATGGCTGCCAGCAGCCCAGCCCTGCAGCTGTTTGCAAACAATCTTCTCCTGCCTCACCATGGTCACAGCAGGCGTCTCAGGGCAGGAGACGTACGGGGCGTTTAACCCCAGGACTGTGCACGGTGCCTGGGCTCTGGCAGGCGTCACTGGACGTCTCTCCCTCTGATGGGTGATGGCCTTCATGCCATGCCCACGCCCCTGGGCCCATCAGACCTCTGTGGGATGGCCCCCAAGGCCGCGGTGTGGGTGAAGAGAGTTCATGCAGTGGCGGGGAGCTGCCACCTCTGCCCTCCACAGGTGCCTGTCTGTCTGCAGAGGCCAAGGCCAAACACTGTGATTACTGACTCCCTCCTGACTCTGCTTCTGGATGCAACTGGGGCTTGGCCAATCAAACAGCCTCACAGGATGAGGAGCAGAGGGAGGGGCGAAGAGGACGGCAGATGTGACTGTTTTCACACTGAGCAGTGTGGAGAGGATGGGTTTCTGAACAATGTCCCTCTGGCCAGGCCAGAGGACAGGGCTTTTCTCTCCTGTGTGGCTCCAGTCCAGCTTCCGAGTCCTGGATTCCAGCTGTGGGCATCATTCCCCAGGCAAAGCCCCACCTTGCTGCCCATGTCCTAGCAGGCAGCTCTCCTGGCACAAAGCAATCATTGTTCCTAGAGGCCCAGCTCGGAGCCCACTCCTGGGCAGCCTGGGCCTCATCAGTGTCCTCCCCAGCACTGCCACCCTTTCTCCTCAAATAGCCCAGTGGTCTCTGCTGCTGGGCACTGACTGACCCCTGACTGATACAGAGCAGGACAATTACAGCCCAAAATTAGCCATGATTAGGCCTTGTGAAGTGTGGAGCCACAGGAGAGACCGGGAGGGATGCTAATTAATCTTAGGCCAAGTCTTTTAAATTGCACAGACTCTGGGGCAAGCCATTAAGTCACAGTCGAAGACACAAATATGGCTCCTGATAATAGAAAGCACTCAAAACAACCAGAAGAACCATCTTGAGTGGGAAGTGGAGAACAGCCTCATTAATGAGAAATTAACATTCATTCCTGGGGACAGAAGGAAACCTCCAGGCCCCCTGCCCTCTGGGCCTGCTCTTCAGCACCAAGCTGCCAGGGCAACCTTCCCTGCTGAATCACAGGCTCCAAGATGCCCCCAAGGGAGGCAGACCCCCACAGGCCCAGCCTTCCAATCCCAGCCTCCTATCCCCACTCAGCAGCCATGTCACAGCAAGTGACTTTACTTCTCTCTGTGGGCTTCAGTTTCTCCAGAGGCACAATTCGGACCTGTACTGACCCACAGGGTTACTGTGGACACTGGCTGGAGCCCTGCACATCTGGTCCAGGGTCAAATGCAGTTCCTGTTCTTGGTGAACACAGCCCAATGACAACACTCAGCCCTACTGCTAGTCCTCCTCATCAGCGGCATCTCCAAGGGATGCAGCCTAAACGTTTGTATTTTAAAACCTTCCCAGGCAACTGGTATGTGCACATGTGCAGTCAGGGCTGAGTAGGGGCCCTGGTCCCATGAAAAGAGTAAGTGACTGCCAGGCAAGACCTCAAGGACTATATGGGCAAGAACAGGAAACTTGGGGCAAAGGTGTGGGTCTGAGTCTGGATTCGATTCTGTTACTGCTCAGCTGCTGACCTTGAAAAGCTCACTGAGCTTTTCTGAGCATCCGTCTCCTCTGCTTTCTAAAAGGAAGGCCAACAGACCCTGCCCCTAGGTCTCCAGTGAGGGCAAAGGGGAGGAGTCATGTGGGAACTCAGGCTGTGCCTGCTACCCAGGCTAGGTGCTCAAAATGCAGGCTGCTACCCTCACAGCACGATATCAACCCAAACTGTCATCCCAGCATCATGACGCGGGGGCTTTGTCTCCTTCACCATAGGCACCGGCTCTGAGACTGGCCCAGCACATGGTCGGTGAGTCATCGTGAAGGGCTGAGTCGGCCCTCCCTGCAGGAGGATGGACCAGGCAGCAGACAAGGAGCCCCAAATCAAATACACATGGAAAGCCAGCATACAGTGCCCAGCACAGCCATCCACTGCGGGAGGTTTTAAATGCCTAATTATACTTCTGTTTCCACAACTTCATCCTGCAGTGTGAGCAGGGGCCAAGCCTTCCAGACCTGGTGCCATCCTCGGCGCTGGACTCTGCAGGGTGTGGTCCGGGAGCTGCATCTTAGGGCCTCTTCAGCTTCTCGAAGCAGGGTTCTTTGTCCATAGTCTGCACAGAGATGGGGAAGGAGATGGGTGACATCAAACTCACACTGAGGCTGTCCGGAAACTGTGTGGACACTGCATGTCGGTGTGTCCAGTCTTGTCTGTGAGGACAGTCACCGCAGCACTCTCCGTAGCAGCAAAACATTAAAAAACAAGCCAAATACCCAGCAAAAAGGGAACAGGCAAATCAGCAAATCTAAATGTCGAGCAAATCAGCCTGATCCTTATGCACAAAAATGAAGAAGTGGGGCACAAGGCCGAGCGTGCAGTAGGGGACTGTGTGCAGCGAAGAGGGAGAGGGTGGTGTGTATGAATGAATGAATGAATGAATGAACGAATGTACTCTTGGGACCCCAAGCACAGATAATCCTCTTGTCTGTTTCTCCTGACTCGACTCCCGCACCGTGAAAGCTGGGAGATCCCTGGTGTCCTCTTTGTCCTGGAGTGGCTCTCCCAAGGGAACATTTTGGGACATCCCTTTCTCCTCTTATTCTCTGGCTGTTGCTTTGACTTTTCCTGTGTATTAATGGCTTGGGTGCTGACCATATGTATGAAGCAATGAATCAGAATAACACAAATCAAGGTTACTGTGTCCCAGGCACTTTTCATTTCTTAAGCCGTTTAAATCTTCCTGGCTAGACTGCAAGTTGGGCTAATTATTCCCACTTTACAGACGAGGGAACTGAGGGCCCACAGAGGTCCCACATTGCTTGAGATCGCAAAACTGGAAAGTATCAGAATAGGGCTTATTCAAATCCAGCTCTGTCCCATTCAAATTTTCTTATAGCTCAGTAGCACGCTGGCTTCTCAGCCTTGAAGGGCACACTGGCACCCTGGGACAGGCACCCTTTTATCCTGTTTTAAAGATGGGACAACAGAGACAAAGTAGCTTCCCCTCAGTCACACAGCCAAACTGGGACCAGACTCCCCAGGCCATGCCATCCCATTCACTTGGCACCAACCAGACATGAGCAGGGACCTTTTCCGTGACACTCACGGGCATCCCACGTGCTCCTTACAGGGTACACGAAGTCCATTTAGAGCACGGTACAGATGGACGAAATGAAGAAATGAATGGTGGAATCAAACGTTACACAGAGGTTAGGTACTAAAGCGAAGAAATATGAAGTGAAGATTAGGTATAATCAAAAGTACCCTAGACACGTCCTTACATTACTGACACTTGAGCCCCAGGAAACATAATCGTGAGACATTTATTGCACAGTCTGCCTTTGCACTTGGGAGTAGAGACGAAACTAGTTTTAAAAGGAAAAGAAAGGAATTTCCTGGGCTGGAGTGTGGCTCAGTGGTAGAGCACTTGTTTAGCATGTGTGAAGTCTTGGGGTTCTCTCTCCAGTGCTACCAAAAAAATAAAATGCTTTTTAAACAAAGGATTTACAGGCCGGGGATTTAGCTCAGTGGTGCCAGCACCTGCCTCGCAAGCGCAAGGTCCTGAGTTTGATCCCCAGTACCAAAAAAAATTAAATTAAATTAAAAAAGGATTTACTTTCTTGCTCTGACAATCTCTTCCAGGTGAAGTGGGTGTAGTTAACCTGTTACATCACCTAGTTACTTGCTGGTAAGTTTATGTGCACAGGATATGGTTCCAGCGTCTCCACTTTTCTTTCTTCTGTGTGCTGGGGACGGGACCCAGGGCCTTGTGCATGCTACCGGCAGGGAAGTGCTCTGTCCCTGAACCGGAAGCCCCAGCCCGCATTTTTAGTGGAGAGGGCTGGCACTCACCATGCATCCCCTCAGCCTGGGAGGTGCTTCTGGAGGGGTCTGCGTGCACGGCTTTCCGAAGTGATGTCTTCAGCTCCGAGTTGGCCCCATTGACGTAGACGGAGAAGCCCTGTTCCAGATGCTCCAGTCGCAACTGCGCCGCGTCCTTGGCTTTCAAATGCTTTAAAATCCTGGAAGTGAGGGCCGGGGATTTAGCTCAGTGGTGCCACCCCCTGCCTTGCAAACACAAGGTCCCGAGTTCGATCCCCGGTACCAAAAAAAAAAAAATTCCTGGAAGTGAAATGACGTGTAGGCATCTGAGCTCCAGCACCCCACGGCAGAAGTGAGCTGCTTTTGGAAAGGCAACAGCAAGGCATCCTTAATAAGAAGGCAGATAGGGGCTAAGGATTTAGCTCAGTGGTGCTGTCGCCCGCCTCGCAAGCATAAGGTCCCAAGTTCGATCCCCAGTACCAAAAAAAAAGAGGGCAGGTGCGTGGCTCCGGCTGCTCGTCTACAAATGGCCTCTGAGCGGCCCTTACAAGTGGGTTAAACTGTGAGGGGACAGTCCCCGCCTGCGGGGAAGTCTCTGCCACTGTTCTGAGGCCCAAAGGCACATGAGTAAGAATGACCACTTGCCGTTCCTGCCTGGGGCAGGAAAAGAGGGGCGTGCCTGTGCTGCTAGCGCGTGCCCTGGGTCTTCCGAGGCAGTTCCACGTGTGCAGTTTTATTTTGTGTGAACAGCAACATTTTGATGTGTAACAAGCGGTGGCTTGGGCCTGAGGCTTTGTAGGAGACATTCCATATACTGCACCCACAAGTCAGAAAACAGGCCTCACTGCACTACGCCAACTAATCTTTTGCTTTGGAGGATACGTGTCCTCAAATGCTCACCCGAGGTATCTCAGACACCACCATGTCATATTCCAGTGAAGCTGAACAACATCCATGCACAAATTCCTTTGCGATGGACGCTGTGACTGTCCGTGCCCTCGGCGGGAGCACACAAGCCAGACCTAGAGGCTGGCTTGGCCGTGGCCTTGACTCGTCCTTCACGCCTGGCTCTCACCCCCTCCTGCTGCTGCACGGCCCAGGGGTGCACAGGTCCTTGTCAGCCCCCACAGCCCCACCGACTGCCACCAAGCTCCCGGGTCTTGCTGCCACCTCTGAGCTCCCCAGGCCAACTAGGTTTATGCAGAGAACCAACCAGCCAGCATGTGGGCATCCTAGGTAACTGAGGAAGTGCCCACCACATCAGCAGAATTTCCATTTTTAAGAATAATACTTATCACACAAGCTCCGTTCTAAATACAAACACACAGTTGATTCTCATTATTTGAGGTTGTTGTTTCAGGACATCACCATGAACATCGAATTGCTGGATGCAGAACCACTGCTTGCAGGGAAATTATAGGATTAGGTTCCTGTGAGTCTCCAATCACATTTTCATCAATCAATCAACACATCGCCTTGTCTTATGTGTTCTGATTAAAGACACCCTGCTGCATTGTTGATTCACTGACAGTGAACTCACACCCTTAGCACTCGAACTCAGGCCCCAACAGAGCTGACCTAACACAATGATGAGATGTGATCAAAAACTACAGTGCGGGCCAGGGATTTAGTTCAGTGGTTTCGCCCCTGCTGCACAAGCACATGGACCCGGGTTCGATCACCAGTACCAAAAAAAAAAAAGAAAGAAAACTACAGTGAATCTGAATTAATTTTTTAAAAAACTATTGCAGTAAAAAAGCACATTTTCATTAGTCTCCATCAAACTACCTCCCCTCCACACATTCCCTGCCACTTTCTGAAGCAGCTCTGCAAGTCCTCTTTCTTATCTTTAGTTGCACTGGTGCGGCTGCCTTGATGTCCTGAATCGATCCAAAACATTTACCTTTCAAGGTCATTTCAACTTTGGGGAAGAGCCCGAAGCTGCACAGTGCCAGATCCAGTGAATAAGGTGATGAGGACATATGGCCCCATCTCTAATGAGCCTGGCTTTCCGTCGGGTGGCGCACGGCAGGGGCAGGCGCTGTATCTCTGATCACACCTCATAGACACTCGGGAAAGAGGACTCCAGAGCTGCTTCAGAAAGTGGTGAGAACGATGGGGTGAGTGTGCTCAAAGGGAAGGGGAGTGTAGTGAGGGGGTTAATGGCGATGTGTCTTCTACTGTAAAAAAAAAATTTTTTTTTGGTACCGAGGATCGAACTCAGGACCTTGTGCTTGTGAGGCAGGCGGAGGCACCACTGAGCTAAATCCCTGGCCCTGTAATAATTTTTGAGTTTAAACACACACCCTGTTTGTGGATCAAACTCTGTACAGTGTTTTCCCCAGGAGGCACCGCAGAGCCTCTGGTGCTCGGGAGCCCTGGACAGCCCTTCAGCACCATGCTGGGCCAGTCCACACAGAGAAACTGGCCAACAGAAGCAAAAAACTGTGGTGCCCAGCACACAGGCATGAAGACACCAGCGAGAGCTGAACCAAGAGCGCCGAGCGCTGTCCTGTTCCGTCCGCGCCAGGGCATGCGTGTCAAGCGACTAGAACTTTTTTGCTGCTCTGCACGTGTCTGTAAGTGACTGCAAAAGCACAGCGAGGACTGATTACTGGGCTCACATATGGTTTAGTGAGCAGCAGGCAAATTCGCAAATACGAATCCTGAGAACAAAGAGGGTAAATTGTATTAAGATATTAAACTGCACAACAGCTCTGTGAGTAATTAGCACCCTGCATTTAATAGATGAAGAAATTGAGGCACAGAGAGGGTAAGTAACTTGCCCAGGTTTACACAGTCTGTGGCGGGGCTAGGAAGAAAATTTGGGCAGTCTGGCTCCAGAGTCACCACCAAAGCAAAGCGAGTGAAATGATGTAGGAGCTGGCAAACAGATGTTGCTGGTAACTCACAGAACAGGAAAAAGGGAACCTGAGAAGATGCCCTGTATTTGGTCTTTGCCCAGTAAGCACATTCTAGCAAATTGTTCCTGAGCAAAAACTCTGGGCAAAAAGGTGATCAGCATTCAGACATGAAAAATCCTGAAACTGACCCAAGTGTCCACCACCAGGGAAGGAGAAACTGGGATGTTCTGCAGCAGGAAAAGATACTCAGAGGGACACGGGGCGGGGACCACTGGTGACCTGGCAGGGGTGCTGGGAAAGAACAGAATGGGAATAGCACATACGTTTTCAGGCAAAGATGTGGGAGAGTGAGTTCGCAACCCAGAATGGAAGGTGATGAATGTAAAAATGAAATTGATTGTTGAGGTAAGGTGGTGGCAACCACGGGCAATTTCTTTGTTTACTTTTTAAATGTTTCTTTACAGCTGATGCATCCATCTTTTCAACAATCATGGCAGGAGCATTTATTACAGACCGCTTATCTCTTGCCTGCCTTGGAAGCCTGGGAGATGTCTGATTGTTGGGCAACAACACAAAACAGAAGGAAAACACAAGTATCTAAGAGACGATTTCCAAACACGCCAAGTGCTGTGCTCCTGGGAGCAAATCACTGAGGGTCACCTGGGGACAGCGTCTCCGAGGAGAGAGCAGCCTGGGGTGGGGAGACCTGGACAGCCAGGCAGAGTCTGCCTCAACTCCTCTCTCCTTTCACCCTGGCTCCTGTGCCATGTGCAGAATGGCATCCTATCACCCGGCATCCGGGCCGGCACTGCACGTGCGCCTCTACTTAAGCAGGATGATTTATGAAAATGTGGATTTATGAAACTGATAAATTAGGAGATAATTATTCAGACTGTGAAAGGAATTGCTAAAGGAACTCCCCTGCGCACATCAGTAACATTCAGGTGGCATCAGAGAAAAAGACTTTAAAAAATGGATAGTCTGTTTTGCATAAAAAGCTGTCCTAGGGGCAGGGAATCCAGATACCTCAGCTTCAGCAGCCGGCCTATCTGAAATCGAGCCTGCCTGCGCCCTGCCGGGCTCTACTCTCTTGACTGTTTCCTCCTGGTCATCACAAGGATCGACCGTGATATTAGATTGTGGATCTGCTAGATGTCTGTTTCTTCACCAGAACCGAGGTCCAGCTAGCTGCAGTGCTGCCCAGTGTGACCGTCGAGGAGGCTCTCAGCGCCCCAAGAACTGCAGGGTCTGGCAGGGGACGCAGATGAGCACCTGTCCCGGTGACCACTTATAGGAGCCATGTTGCAGCCCTCCTGCCATTTCATATGCACGGCAGCCTCTGGGCCAGCAGGGCTTGAACCCTCACACACAGGAGGAGGTGGAGGCACTCACTGTCCCGAGGGGTGTGGCCGGGCCCTGGGAGGCCTGGGACTGGGCCTCTTGGGGTGCACGCTCCCCTCTTCATGGGCCACCAAAAGCAGAGCCCCAGTGGTGATGAGAACTGAATGAGCACAAAGACCAGGAATGTTGCTGCTCGTGGGACAATGGCACGAAGATGACCTGGCCAGCTGGGTATGGTGGGACACACCTCTAATCTCACTACTCTGAGAGGCTGAGGCAGGTGGGTCTACAGTTCAAGGACAGCTTGCGCAACTTAGGGAGACCTTATTTCAAAATAAGAAATAAAATAGCTCTATGCAAAGGCCCAGGATTCAACCCTAGTGCTACACACACACATGTATGAACACACACACATGCACGCGCACGCAGAGGAGCTGGGGATAGAAAGCACTGGTGTGGTGGTGGGCTTGCCATGCATCATCAAGTCCCTTGTCTCCCTTTGGTGGGCCTCGGGGTGCAGGTGTCCCCTTGACCCGCCTGCGGTCCACCCACCTCTTGGGCAGTTTCCCCAGCACCCACACCAGGGGCTCTGAACCAGAGGAATCCAGAGGGAGCTGGGGCTCCCGGGCAGGACTTCGAGAGGCAGCAGTGTCAGCATCAGGGCCCTGCTCTGCAGACCCTGGGGAGCCTCCAGGGTTGGTGGGTGTCCTCCACACTGTCCCCTTGGAAGTGTAGCGGAGGATGGAGCTCAGTGAGGGGGGGCTCTGCCATTTCCCCAGTGTGTGATCCCGCAGGTCCCTAGCCCCAGGGCGCCTGTTGTCTCTTCTGTGGAGAGACAGCAAGAATGGCTGCACCTGCACTGGCTAGGCGGGACAAGATGACACAGTGGAAGCAGCAGCCACCACACGGCCAGGCAAGGCCCTGGTACAGCTGAGCTCCCCTTCCCTCTTCCTGCCCGAATCTGGGGGCTGGGCTACCTCCTCTGCCTCACATGCCTGTTTTCTTGTCCATTTCCCTCAAATGACCTTCCTCAAGGACGGAATGACAACACTGTTGCTGGACTCGCCTCTCTGCCACCAGCTCTTCCACACAAGGCCCTCATCTCGGCAGTCGGAGCCCAGCACCTGGCTGTTTAGCCTCATGCTGGCTCCTTCGCCAGCCTCTTCACAGTGAGGCTGTGACCAGAATGGCTGAGAGTCTTAGGAGATGGGCGCGGGGAGGGTGTGTGCACGGAGAGGCAGGGGTGTGTCCTCCCCTCCGGGAGCACAAGACAGAGTCCTGCTCCTTCTGGCACAGTTAGCAGCAGCCTCCACCCAGGCAGCTCCTTGAGGCCAAGGGCTGAGAGATGGACCTGTCCTTTATCTGGCCTGCCGCTCTCCCCACCTCAAACAGCTTCTTGGGTCTCCTGGGGAACAGCACCCCTCCTCTTACTCCATGTGGCCAGGGGCTGGGGATTTAGCTCAGTGGTTCTGCCGCCTGCCTCACAGGCGCAAGGTCCTGAGTTCGATCCTCGGTACCAAAAAGAAAAAGAAAGGAATTTGTTCTTCCATGTGGCCATGCCAGGACTGACTCCACTGCCCAGTCTGGGGGTGGCCGAGGGCTGTGCCCCCATCAGACACGGAGAGTGCCTGGCTCCAGGTGGGAACAGAGCATAAGGCAGGCCAGTGGGAGCCCTCAGCACGTGCTACAAGCACTGGACAGAGGGGCTCTCTTCTTTTGCGAAGGATAAACAGGGCTTCCGCTGCTGTCTTGCCCACTGTGAGGGAAAGGAGACGAGACACGGAGAAGGAATGACACTAGTGACAGAATTTAAGCTCCTGGATCCAGCTATGCCGAAAGCCAGTTATCATGCTGGATGCCTAATTTCAGAGCAAATAAGCTTCCTAGTGGCACAAGTCTACTTAACCTTGAGTTTTTGTCCCTTACAACCAAAGAACATGACACTGATACAGTCTGTCTTCCTCATCGCAATGTTTTCCTTTGTATGAGCATAATGCCAGGTACTTGGAAGGTACCCAGTGAAATTCTACGCATGAATAGAAGAATAATGTCACCCTGCCTCTCAGGGCAGCTGTGCTCTGGGCGGCTCTCCGGAAGGCACATCCCTGATGATCGCACATTCTCCTCTCAGGTTACGGGCAGCCCAGCTAAGCTGCCGGGGTTTGCATCCCCCTTGAGGCCTGGCATTAATGCTCAAACTGATTTTCTACCTGGTTATACAACTAAGCTTCCAAGTAAATTACAGTTTAGTCCCACAAAATCCCTTCTTAGTAAACTCAGGGCCACTGGCAACCCTGGCAGGCTTCTCTCACTTTGATGGTTTATGAAAACATCAAACAAAATCTAAAGTACAACCCAGCTCTGCTGCTTCTAGATTTGAGAGACCCTGCCCATGGTGCTTGCTCACTGCTCTGTGTCTATTCCTTCCTCTGTAGAAAGGGTACAGTCACTCTGGCTGCCTGGCTGTGTGCTGATAAAATATAGTGGCAGCAAGGCTCAGCCGGCCATGGCTTAAGGGCATTCCCACTCTGTAGTTCTCCCTGCAAAGGGGCCCTTTCCAGCTCTACGATCTAATTTCCTGCCATTGAGGCAGCCCTTTAAGTAACAACATGCCCCTCCAGATTTTATGGCAACTCAGTTCTGATATATTTTTAATTGCCTTTGTGCTGCAACCTTGTCTCTCAAATTCTCATATATGCTATCAAACAGCACCTCTATGACTGCACACTTATTGATCCCCGATTAATGAGAAACAATCTGCCCATAAGGAACTGTGACACCCGGTCCCCAGACAAGTCACATGGAGGTGATTAAACCATCACCCAGGTGTTCAGTGGCACCTTCCAGCCTGCCAGAAATGGAATAAAAACATCCCACTCCAGGCGGTGATGATAATGAAAGCCCACGGTGGGCTCATCAGCACAGGATGCTGTGCTGTGCTTGAGGTTGCCCCTGGGATGCAGAGAGGAGCGCTGGGCAGTGGGGCACGCTGCCTGGCACTTCTGGTCCTGGAGGGATCACTCAGAAGTCCCCCAGCCAGTGCGGCACCTCCTCACTAGAGATTGTTCGGGAATGCGGGCAGGTGTTGTTGCCATGGATACAGGGCTGAGTCCTAATGGCTAGAATTCTATACCAGGCCAGTGGGTAGGGATGCTACCATACAATGCATAGGACCACCCTGTACACAAAAACCTGTCCCGCACAGAGTGACAAACCTCACAGTCTGGCCAGTTAGATGAGGGTGCCGGCCACATTCAGGTGAAGCCTCCAGGAGTCTCCCACAAGACCCCAGCCCACTCCCACAGCACAAGGCCAGGCCTAGCACCACCTTCCTCTTCCTCTTCCATCACATCTGTTTTGTGGGTCTGCACTGTTCTGCTGTCTGTTTGGCTTGTGCTTTAACTGGAATTCATTACCAGCATTTAAAAACTTGGGAGCTTTTACAACACATATCCAGATTTCCCACCTCTCTGGACCTTGGGCCCTGCATTCCCACAAACAAGTGGTCTGCACTGAGCAGCATGGCTAGGACAGTCCTGGGTGCCAACGTTGCCTGCTGTGTCACTGTCACTTGCTGCACGGCTCCTCCTAGGCTTTGAGTCTGCAAACCCAGCTCAGGCTCGGGCCTCGAGACAAGCCACAGTGACCTGGTAAAGAACTTGCTCAGCCTGTGGAGGAACTAAGGCCTCACCTCTTAAACCACACCAGGCGGCTTTGACCTTCATCGTTAAACACTGCACCTATGGCAGGCTTTTTTTAGAACCAGCACTAACATAAAAATCAGCCCTAATTTAACTTTAAATGACACACACCCCCACTTCAAACACAAATGTAAATGATATGATTTCAGGCTCTGATTTCAAGGGACTGTCACAGCTGGTGAGATTACAGACTGGGCTATTCAGGTGACTGCTGCATAGGCCCTGCCAAATTCCTTCTCTGACAATTCCACCTTCTCCCAGAACAGAATCAGGGAGCCAAGAGGTGGCACTACCATGCAGGCGAGTCTACTATAGCTCAATCAAAAGATGCAATTAAACCAGAGTGGAGAATCAGGGGCTGGGATTGCAGGTAATATTGCAGGCCTCTGAGTGGAGGGGGCTTCACACCCCATTTCCTGCGAACAGGGCCTGCCCACTGCTAATAAATCTAAACAGATTTTTATTTGGCTAATAACAAGGGCTGCCGTTGGACGGCTTTATCTTACCGGTTCCTCTGCTGAAGCAATATTAAATACTCATCATGTTTCTCATCAAAGTCTGTCACCATGTCCTTAGTGCAACCCTGAAATGAAGAAACAGAGTGGTGTGACAGTGGAACGCAGGGAAGCCTTCACTGAGCCAGGGCCACACACACCGGTGCAGGAAGCCGAGAGGCACAGCAGCCTTGTGAGGCCCAGCTCCCTGGATGCATCACTCTGGCAACCCAAGTTCCAGAGAAGGCCCAATGGGCTTTAGACACAATGACTTTAATAATCCACAAAAGAAATTCAGCTTCCCAGTCTTGCTGTTGTTCACTCTTCCCGTGCCCTGTGGAATCCAGGGCTCAGACAAGAAGACAAGACTTGGGCCGTTAAGCTCTGTGTGTGTGCGTGTGTGTGTGTGTGTGTGTGTGTGTGTGTGTGTGTGCCGTGCTATTTGGGCAGGCCTCAAATTTGTGATCCTCCTGTCTAAAAACCTGACTGCTGGGACCACAGGCATGTGCCACCATGCCCAGCAAAATCACTCGTTATTCGGTTATTTCAACCGTCATACCTAGACACAAGCCAAATCAGCTGTTTCAAAGGGACCTCATGTTGTCCCTGCCTTTGCAAGAGGAATGCATGTGGTCACCACAGTCACTACAGATATACATGGTCCTGAGAGTGAGGTCCCTTTGAGTGGCCACTGGCGACTCGGCCTCCTTCTCTGCAACAGGCCCCTGCACTTTCTCCGGAAACCATTCAGCTGCTCTTTCAGTTCAGTAGCTTCCTTAAGATTGCCCTCAGATGCTTCTGCAGGCTCCTCTTGGATCACTCAGCCTCAATGGAAGCACTCTGTACACGGTGCTTCCCCAACCACCATGAGTACCTGCTTTAGGGGTGACCACGATGTGGTAGCCCTGGGACTTTGTTGATACGCTGGAGAAAAAGCTACTCTCTTTCCTCTGGGGAGGTGAGCAGATGAAACACAAGCCCGGACCTGCCTGAGAATGAAGCCAATAAAAAGAAGCAGAGCCAGGTGCAGTGGGGCACACCTGTAATCCCAGCTAGTCAGGAGGTAGAGGCAGGAGGATCTCAAGTTTGAGGTCTGCCTGGATAACTTAGCAAAATCTTATCTCAAACGCAAAAGGGGGCCAGGCATGGTGGCTCATGCCTTTAATCCCAGGACTTGGGAGGCTGAGGCAGGAGGATTGTGACGAGTTCAAGGCCAATCTGAACTACATAGAGAGACCCTGTCTCAAAATAAAAGAAAGAAAAAGAAAAAGGGGATATAGTTCAGTGCTCCCCTGGTTCACTCTCCAGTACAGAAAGAGAGGGAGGGAGACAGAGAAGGATGGAGAGAAACGAGACACAGATTCCTAACGACATCATGCGTCTCTGGATCCACTCATGCCTGAAGAAGTCTCTGGAAAATTCATTTGTTGCCTTAGAAGCTTCAGCTGATGTTCTGTCCTCTACAGCCAGATAAATCCCAAGTAATATACCATCAGAGACAACGAGTTTTACATTTATTACAGCTTTATGGTGAGATAATTGATGTATAGTAAACTACACGTATTTAAGGTGACAGGCACAAACCAATAAAACCACTCTGAGAAGACCCTGAGATGTTTTCCTGTGTTCATAGTATACCAGACACAGGTCTACACACAGATATGCACTTGTTCTTTTAAACAACAATAGGATCATACTGTAAACATTGCTTTGCAATTTGCTATTTCTTAAATAACTTTTTGCCAAGGAATGGATTAAAGATACATTTTCACCTCAGTGCTGGTCAAGAGTTACAGCAAGTTCCAGAGGTAACTTCAGATGGCAACAGGGCTTACTGAACAGAAATGCAATTCATAGGGAACTCCAATGATCATCGTCATGGAGAGAAGAAAACAAGAAAAGAGAAGAACCGCTATCATTCCTTCCTTAATTTCCCCAATCTGCCTTTAACCCTATTATTCTACTAGATCCCTACTCAAGGGTGGCCCAGGGCCACCTTAACCAAATACAAATGGCCCCCATTACAGTGGCTCAATTTGATGACACAACCATTCTGTTTTTCACTCCCAGTTCAATAGCCAAAGAGGCCCAAGAGCTATTCAAAGCTTTATTATAAAATGTGCTTCATGTTAGATGACTTTGCCCAACTGCAGATGAAGGTGAGTGTTCTGAGCATGCGTACGAGAGGTGAGGCTGCCTTCGGGAATGGAAGATTAGGTGCATTAAAGGCATTTTTGCTTTACAACGTTTTCAAGCTGTGACAGGCAGACTGGGATGTGGGCCCATCCATCCTACGTCACGGAGCATCTGTGTAACTGCTCTTGTGCTCTCCATTCTTGTCAGGTGCTCAGGCCACAGGGCCGCTCAGCTCCCGCCCTTCCGCTGTGTGTTCCTCTTGGGCTCTGCAGTCTGAGCCCCTTCCTGCACAGCTTTCTGCTGCGCCTTCTCTGGCTGTCCTCCTGCTCTGCTGCCATCTGTGGATGGTCGGTGTCTCTCTATTATTTTTGCAGTGCCGGGGATGGAACCAGGTCCTCGCACATGTCAGACAAGCACTCTGTCGCTGAGTTGTACGCCCCTAGCCCCTGAAGCCTCTGCGTTTTCTTCTGGTTTTACTGTTGTTGTTGTTTGTTTGTTTGTTTTGGTACTGGGGATCGAACTCGGGTCCTTGAGCTTGCAAGGCAGGTGGTGGAACCACTGAGCTAAATCCCCGGCCCAAGCCTCTGAGTTTTACTGGAGTTTCTTGCTAGCTAACTTGGCCAATCTGGATGTGAGCAATAATAACAGGGTGATATTATGAAACTACAAAAAACTTTTTTAAAAACAAAGTAGCAATAGCTATGGCTATTTCCCTACTTCTCTGGCCTCCGGAGCAAGGATGAAGCCCTGCCTCCCTGCAAGTGGGCAAAGCGCAGCAGCCGCTCCTGGAGGAAAGCAGGCTTGCAGAACACTGGCTGGGGGAGGGGACTCTTGGTTCCTTCTAGAATAACAACACATGTATTCTGCGAACAATTTATGTAGCATTTCCAGATACATTATTCTCCTTTGATCTTCACAGCAGCTCTTGAAGTGGTTATTATTACCCCATTTAAGATACAAGGAAATTCATCCCATGCATCGTCCCGGACCACGGATGCGACTCCATGGCAATTTACATAACCATTCTGAAATATTAAAATGACCGCTGATAGATTATGGTATGGAATGAAACATTCGATGGCATTTTTAGAAGAAATATGGACTTCAAAGAGATCTAAGTTTGTGAGGGCTGTCTTGGGCTTTCACTCAAAGCCTCCAAGGAAGCACACCCTCTCTCCTGGCCAGGAGGGAGACGTCCCCCGCAAGGCCTGAAGACAAGCTCATCTAGCCGGCCCCGCGAAGCCAGACACTGATGTGCTCACAAGTCATCCGGGGACTGCAGTGAAATGCAGGTCCTGGGAGGTGGGCCTGGGGAGGGTCTGAGGGTCACCTCTGATCAGCTCAGGGAGTGCCCAGGACGCCTGTGGGGGGCCAGGGTGGAGGCTGGCCAGCTTCCTCCCCTCTGTGCAGGACGCCATCACCACCTTCAGTCGGCTCTGAGCTCCAGCTGGGAAGCGCCTGAGCTCTGGAGGCCGGCCTGGCTCCAGGTTACGACACCGCCACTGGTTTATCTGTGAAATAGGGTGAGGCAAGAGCTGAGAGGCCCGGGACATTTCATTGGGCAATACATGGATGAGGCGTTTAGGTCAGCAGGGCTCCCCCTCAGGAGGGATTGATGTGGCTCTCCAGAGACCAGGCTAAGTCTTGCAGGAACAAATGAGTCGGCATTCTCATGAGACTGGGTGAGTTACCATGAGAGTGGCTTGCTCTGAAGCACCGCCGCCTTGCTACTTTGTCTCTCTTTTACGTGTGCTTGCTTGCCTTTCTGCTTTCCATGGTGTCTGGGTGTTCCTGGCCAGAAGCTGCTCTATGTCCTGGGACTTCCCAGCCTCCAGGACCATAACAAACTTCCTCTTTTTATAAATTACCCACTCTCAGGTACTCTGTTGTAGGACAGAAAATAGACTGAGACAAGGTTAAACGTAGACTGGGTGCCATAACAGTTGAAAGGACTTAGCAAAGCACCTAGCACTTCAGAGTTCTCAGTGATCACTAGTGACCCAGACATTTATAGAATTCCTTAACTGAAGTAACAGTCTCAGCCCGTCTCCATATCCCTCGTGCTTACTCCTAACCTGATTTCCTTAACATTCAATTCTTTTTCCAGAAACTACCCCCGGCCCTCCAGCCTCCACTCAAGATTCTCCAAGGCCGAGATCAGTCCCAGAATCTCCATGAAGCATTCCCTTGCCGTACACCCCCCACTCCCTCCAGTTCATTCTGAAACCCTGCAATTAGTATTAAATTGCCTACAATATACTGCCAAACAATATGTAATTAAGTGCTAAGTTGTTAGCATTTAACTACATACATTGCTCGTTAACTATTTGGGGATTTGGAGACTTTCGAGTGAACCCTGAACTCTTATTTGCCTCCTCAGAGCTCAGTTTTCTCATCTGTAAAAAGGGGGTAATGGCCAGGTGTGGTGGCGCATGCCTGCAATCCTAGCACTCAGGAGGGCGGGAGGCCAGCCTGAAGTACATAGTGAGACCCTGTCTCAAAGTGTGTGGGGAGTGTTAAACACCAGGCCTGGGGCACAGACCTATAATCCCACAACTCTGGTGGGCTGAGGCAGGAGGATTGCAAATTCAAGCCCAGCCAACAGAATTTAGCATTTTAGCTACTTAGCTACCTCACAGGGCTGCTATAAGGATTAACTATGACAAAACAGGGAAGAAAGTTACAATTCTTTTCTTTCTTGTTCTCTTGTTGATCCCCAGGATTATAGATTCCGAGGGTAGACCTGGGGCATGGGGAAAGAGAAGGGATTCCACATGGGAGCCAGGGGTCGGGCTGCTGCCACCTTCACTGCTGTCCAGCTCCTGAGCACAGCTGCTAGGCTGACTGAGCTGTCTGGTGCCAGGCCCCATTTGAACCCCTTTACGCCTAACTCGCCCCCACAGCCCTGCGCAGACCGGCCCTGCCTCTCCCGGCACGGCTCTCTTTATCTGTGGAGTTTATTTCTTTGATTAGGAAATGAAGGATGAACACTGCTGCCAGCTAACAGAGGGAGGAAACCTGTAAGGCACTGGGCCTATCCTCACCGTCTCTGCGGATGGTTATTTACCCAGTGCTCACTGTGCGCCAGTCCCTGGGCATCAGCAGCCTGGGCGAAAGGAAAACTCCGACCCTGAGTGTGCTCAGGTTCCAATTGCCCCTGTGGGGGCACACGGCTGAGACTGCCACCCGTCAAGTGGCCACACCTGGCCAGGAACCCCTGGGGGTCTGAGAGGCCACAGTTCTTAGAAGGAAGGTTTTAATTTTCATCAGCTCCCAAAGGCATGTGGGACCCAAAAAAAGGAGAGAAATTAATAAACTTTGCCAAATCAGTGCAAAGGGTCTGTGTGGGGCCAGGAAGGCCTCAGAGAGCACAGCCAGGCCCTGCCCCATGGAGTCACTTGTAAAGCCTCTCTCCTTCCCCAGCCCCACATCTACTCCACCAGCTCCACCTTCAAACTCCCATTCGCAGCGGCCCTCCCTGTCCAGAGGGGACCAGTCCCAGCCCCAGTGGACTCCCCGAATCACGTGAAGTGCCCACCTTACAGACTACTTTGCATCTCTCTCTGTCACATCTGACTGTCTCCATCACAAGTCTTGTACTTCGTGGCCTTTATTAGGGAAAATAAGGGCTCCCTGCAGACAAGCACACAACACGTGACCATGGATCTGATAACTGAGAGGACTCCCGCGTTCCTGCCAGGCAGGTGGTGCACACTGGGTGAGGGGACAACTCACACCCCAGGCAGGACACTGTGGAGGGTGTGAATTTCCTCATGCTGCTCAGAATGCCAGGCAATCTAAAGCTCACTATTGATTTCTGGGATTTTTCATTTAATACTTTTGCACCGCAGTTGACTGTAGATAACTGGAACACAGAAAAGCTCGGATAGTGGAGGACTGCTGTACTCTGAGTCTGACCACTTTGCCCCAGGCCCCTACCTGCTCTGATCCTGCCCTGTCCCTGCAGTCTGCTCTCCCTGCTGCAGCCAAGGGTGTGATGAGAGGAAAGAACCATCATGCTGCTCCTCTGCTCAGGCCTCGTGTGGGCGCTGTCGCACTCAGAGCCCAGGATAAGGCGCTCCTGGCAGCCGTGAGGCCCCGCACACTGAACCCCCTCTTCCCTCTCTGACCTGCCTCCCACCACCCAGTCCTCCTCCTCCTCCTCACTCCAGCATCCTCAACACTGAGCCATCCCCACCCCCAGGGCTTCTGACCTGTCATTCCTTCCACCTGGATGCTCTTCTCCCAGGAATACGCCGACTCCTCGCTCGCCTTCAAGACAAGGGTCAGCTCTTCCTTCTGCAGCAAGGGCCTCCCTGACCACCCTATTTAAACCTTCAAGTCATGTACAAACACCCCCGCATGCTCCCAATTCCCACGAACTCTGCATCTTGTTTATCTCATTTATTATGCCTTTTTCTTCTTGGGCGGACTTTACAATGAAAATTCTTTTTTGGGACCGGGGATTGAACTCAGACCCTTTCACTTCCAGGGCAGGTGGCAGAACCACTGGGCTAAATCCCCAGCCTAGAATGAAAATTCTACGAAAGCAGAGAGCTTTGTCTGGTTCACTGTCTGTCCCAAGCCCCCAGGACAGAGCCTGGCATAAAACACAGCCCTCCATAAACACCGGCCGAGTGAAGGATGGCACAAGGGGACATCTGAGCTACCATGTGAAAGTGAAAAGGCTACCTTGGCAAGAAGAAAGGGAAGGGCACTGCAGGCAGCAGGACCAGTGTGTGCAAAGGTCTGGAGCCTGGAAACGCATGGGATGCTCACGGGCTGGCAGGGGCTCGGTTCAGCTAGGGGGACAGGTGCCAGGGAGGTATGAGTCACATGCAGCAGAGGAGTGTAGATGTGACTGGGAGACAGAGATTGGGTACTGCTATCTTCATCAACTTTATCCCCAGTGCTGCCCCCAGGGAGGGTGCAGAATTCCTTCAATGCTCATATTATTAATTCTCTCAGGGAGCAGGGCATGGAACTGCAATAAAACACCAAGAATCGGTTACACTTAAAGATGCTTGACACAGTCCATAGTTCAGGGATCATGTATTCCTCTGAGGCCAGAATACTGGAATTCTCCAAAGCATAGCTGATTTAGTAAGTGCCAAAGGCCGTGCTGCATTCATGAGCAGCTGAGAGGAGTGTGGTTCCCAGGGCTGGAGAAGATGGGGCCCTAACTCTGCAGGCGACAGGTCTCAGCAGCGAACGACGGTATCTCAGAACGGGTTAATCATGAATGTCTCCACAGCACACAGCCCAAACCACCCACCCTCCACTGCCTCCCCAGCTCCACATGGTAACCGAAGGACAGTTTATGAGTGACAAGCGACAGGGCCCAGCACTCAGGCGCCTTAACTGCTTCATGTTATACTCTTTGTGGATGCTTACTAATTCCCACAGTAATCCTAGGTTTTAGGATCATCATCCCCATTTTACAAAGGAAGAAACCAAGTTGCTGGAGGGCCGCAGTCTCTAAGTGGACAGAGCAGGCATGCGTTCCTCCTCTTCTGGGATCTCCTCTGGGAGCCCATCTCTCCTCCACGGCACCCGTGTGGAGGGGTGGGAGCAATACCCCCGAACTTCCAGGGCTGGTGCACTTCTTCTCCCAAGATGGTGACAGTGCACAGCTAGGGACGTGCCCCGAGCTGGATCGACAGAGTCCCTGAGGAAAGCCCCTATCTCTCTTCCCCTGGGATTGGACAAGCTGACATGAGTCCCGAGTGCTATGGGGGACAAAGGAAGAGGCCAGTTTTTTCACACACAAAGGAAAAAGTACTTCTGTAATCACCTTACTGACTTCACTATTATGATCATCCTTGGGCGTTCCATGTGGAAATCTGCCCAAGAACCTCACGGATGCAGGGGCGGCAGAACTGAGGACAGGGAGAGATGGACAGAGAAGTCAGGTCCTTTTAACCACAACCACGGTTAATGCCCTTACCCAGCCACGCTGGCACTATCTTGGACTTCTCAGTCACATGAGCTAATACACTCATTTCTTACTCAAGTCAATTTAAAGTGTGTGTGTGTGTGTGTGTGTGTGTATAATTTATACGAGTCTGGGGTAGTACTGTGCAGGAGCTGGTGCTCGGCTGAGTCTGAATGCAAACTCTGTGATGTGTCTGAGGGTTTAGAGAGGCATTGGTAGAGGATTAAATGATACTCGGACATTATTTCTTCTGTTTTGTTGTGTTGTGTTTTGGCAGGGCTGGGGATGGAAGCCAGGGCCTCCCACCTGTGAGGCAAGCGCTCTACTACTGCATTACAACCTCGGCCCCATAATAACGAGTGTTCTTAACATCCCTGTACCCATAACAAAAGATGACCCCAATGGACCTTACGGAAGAAAGCTGACTCTTCCTTTAAAACCCACCCACACCCAACTCCTCCATTTTCCCAGTGATTCTGCTGCTCCCCAGTGTTGTGTGCTGAGTCCTTTGTGCATGAGCTTCGTGCAAAAGGACAGTTGTGAGTCTACTTGTCACTATATTCGCTACGCTATCGGACATGCTCCCATCCTCAAAAGAAGAAAAACAAACGCTGCATTCAATGTGCCTGCACTGCAAAGAGAAGCCAGGAGAAGAAGACCTAAAGCAGTGGTTGAGACTGCCCCCTAGAGGTGGAAGGAAACCAAACGCTGCAGCACATATTTGGGTTTCTCAGCCCCGGGGTGGGTAGACCACCTAGAACACAGGCTCTACACACACAGGGTGGATAAGCAAAGGGAGAGTTAGGGTTGCCTTTCCAATATTTTAGACTTACATCATTACCACCCTCCCTGCTGTGCACCACTATTTCCTGCTACCTAACAACACCTTGAGATTTTACACTTAGCTTCAGGGTTTATAGACTATCCACGCAGACCCCGAGCCTAGGATTTTCTTGAGAACCCCATCCCGTAGTATGTTGTATTTTAAGAATTTTTTTTCTCTCCTAGCTAACTAAGAAATCATTTTCAATATATATCTGAAAGAAAATAATTAGCGATTTTTATTATCAGAAAAATTTTCTTATCATATTGCGATGTGTATTATTTTCTGTCACTATAACAAAATAATTGAGGTGGGGGTAATTTACAAAGAGGTTTGTTTTGGCTCATGGTTCCAGAGTTAATAACCCTGGCCTTTGCTTAGCTTCTAGGGAGAGCCTCCTGGTGGAAAGCAGAAAAGCAAGCAGCCTGTGTAGATCTCCTGGTGAAAGAGGGAGGGAGGGAAAGCCAAGGAACCCGAACTTGCTTGTAACAACCTGCTCTGGAGGTAACTGAGCCACTCCTGAAGGAACTACTTAATCCGTCCCAGTGCTTCTTAAAGGCCCCGCCTTCTCAACAGGAAACCAAGCCTCAACACAACGATACAACCTCGGCCAGCCACAGCAGGCACCGGGAGGAAGGGGGCAGGGACGCAGGCTGCCACAGGGAGAAGGCCACAGACCGTGGGCCTCTCCTTCCAGGAAACATCCAGAATGGGCAAACCTAGAAAGACAGCAGCTCACTGGCTACTGCAGGTAAGGGACAGGGGAGCAGGGAGAGGTCACAGGTACAGTCCTCACTGGGGTGATGTAAATGCTCTGGAATTAGACAGTGGCGGTGGAATTAGACAGCATTCTAGGGGCCAGGGATTTTGCTCAGTGGTTTCACCCCCTGCCTTGCAAGTGCAAGGACCCGAGTTCGATCCCCGGTACCAAAAAAAAGGGTATCTACGACATAAAGATACAATGGTTGGGATGCTGTCTAGCATATAATACTACATGCTCCATAAATGTTTGCAACTACTCTAAGTTTATGCTGATTGGAAACATTTAATTGTTTCTAATTATGGTGAGACTGGAATTTACAGTTGGCCTCAGTTCCCGAAGCCGTTTGATACCACAACGCTAACACCCACCTGAAATCCATGGAAAGAAACGATGATATGACTTATTTTTTTAAAAGCTGTTAACTTTCCTTTCCCTGTGTAGGAAGTGGCTGAGCCACGCTGTCTCTGGGGAGAGCAGCTGGATGTGGATCGTGTCTGCCTCCAGCAGAGGGGCTGCTATCACACCCTCAGAGCAGGCACGGGGCTGGTGACAGTCACCACCTGGTTGTCACGGGTGGGAGACAAGGAACGGTATCAGCTGGTGGCAGAACCAGAATCTGGAACGTCTCGGGGAATAAAGGGACTCACGGCAGAGGAGTTAGTCTACTTCCATCAAAATAGTATTTTACAAAGTTGCCGGGGTGTGTTTGTCAAAGGGGGTGACTTCGGGCTGGCAAGGCCTTCTCAGAGCAGGGAAAGCTAATAGGAGAGAGGTCTGGCCTACAGCCTGAGGAGCTGCTCCGCTGTGGGAGAGGAAGGGACAGGTGAGTCCTCCAGCCCCAAGGTAGGGTGTGTCCTGCTTGTGACAGGGCCACAGCCACCCACAAACCCCACAGCCTCTTGGCCTCCTGCCCACTCCTTCCAACACAGCCTGCCCCATGACAGGGGTCCCTGCGGCCTCCTTCACTAAGAGCCCGCCGTGGGGGGACAGCCGCACTCTGGGGGAACAAAGCGGATCCACTATGGCAGGAAAAACACAACACTTCGTGGCCTCCATCTACTCAGGCCTGGCTGCCGCACCCCCTGGAGTCGGCCCAGAGAAGGACTCTCAGGCGCGGGAGGAGAGAGGCACAGAACATGGCGACAGGCTCTCAAGTCCTCTGCAGCCAGTCCACGCCTGGACAACTGCACGGCAGATGCAAAAGGAAGAGGAGGAGCCAGAGGACACAGCAGACAGGGTCAGGAGGACAGCAGGGCACAGGGTACCAAGCACCGTTCATAGCAAACACATAAACCAAGCGCTCCCCAAAAATGCCGAATGGGTTGTGAAGGTCAACTTATGCAGAGAGAAAGTTCTGGAAGGATGCGTGACTCCTTCCAGAAGGGCTGGGACCAGAGAAGCATGGGGACTGGGAAAGGGTTTCAGCCTTGTCTGGAGGGTCAGGCCCTCTATCTGTAAGGAGGTTGTTTCCTGTGCTGCTGCTTCCACAGCTGATCACCTCAACTCACCCATCCCCTCCTCAAAAAGGACAGAGGTCACAAAAGGTTGTGAGGTAGGATAGAAGAAATACAGCTAGATAGACAGGAGACAAGGAAATCGAAAAACTTTTTTCCTTTCCTTTTTTCTTTTTTTTTTTGAGACGGGGTCTCGCTATGTAGTTCAGACTGGCCTTGAACTCACTATGTACCCCAGGCTCGCCTTGAACTTGTGGCGATCCTCCTGCCTCGGCCTCCTGAGTGCTGGGATTACAGGTGTGTAGCAATTACACGCCTGGCAGGAATTGAAATTTTTTTAAATTGTGTTTTAAAGAAAAACTTCAGGTTTAGAACACAAGCCTGGTTTTACTTGCAAAGGGAATGGACACCCCTTTGTCCTTTCCCATAGGAACAGACAGGAGTGGCCCATCCCAGATGGAGACTGAGACTGTAGATTACGGAATTCCATAGACTTCCACCTCCCAAGACATAAAAGGCCCTGGTTCCCAGCTGTAGTGTATCTCATTGCTCTGAGCATCCATGCTCGGCTCTGGAGCACGTCCTGCCTCTTCCCCTGATAAATCCTTCTCAGGCCTCTTTTACTGAGATGTCAGGAAATTCCTTTTCTTTTCTTTCTTTCTTTTTTTTTTTTTTTGGTACCAGGGATCAAACTCTGGTCCTTAAGCTTTGGAGGCAGGTGGCGGAATCACTGAGCTAAATCCCCAGCCCCAGGCAATTCTTTTTCTAGGACAGGAGCCTGTGAACCTGCAAACTTATTTGAAAGGGCTTAAGTTCCTTATTTCCACCTCAGAACCCTCAGACCCAGCCCGTGAGAGCGGCACATTCCAGGCTCAGGTTCCATGGCTTCCCCACATCCGCCTCCTCCAATCCCTACCGGCCTTTCCCACTTCCTGACGTCCTCCCAAAACCACTCTCCCTCTTTCCCGCCTCAGGCGACGCTCACCACCTTCAGGTGCTCAGACCCAGACTCCAGCCCTTCCTGGCTCCTCCTTTGTCTCCCACACCCAGTCCAGCAACAAATGCACCTGGATCCGCCCCTACTCAGCACCAGCCCCTCCAGACCGAGCCGCCCTCGTGTCACCCCGGGCCCCACCCTGTGGCCTGTTCTGTCTGTGGAAGGAGGCTCAGCCTGTGCAAAGCTGTAAGTTTTACACTCAGAATGCTCCCAGGACTTCCTTCTCTCATGGAGTAAAAGTCCAAGGCCTTACGCAAGGCCACAGTCCCCATCCGACCTGGAATCAAAACCCTGCCTTCTTATGTTTGCTTCTGCCACACCTGGCCCTGACCCCAGCTCTTTTTTAAAAATTTATTTACTTGAGCCAAAAATTGTATTGAACTGGTCTCTTTGTATAGTAACTATAAAACACACATACAGCTATTAAAACCTAAGATAAACCCCTTCACTATTTAGAAACTTAAGCATGTTTATACGTTTGTTAATAAATTTTTCATCTTTTTTTATCCTTGCAGTAGAAAGGAATTTGTCCTTGCAGGTCTGGAGGCTCACAGACCATTTCTCTCTAAAACTGCCCCAGGCACTCGCGCTTGCTGTTCACTTCCCGGAGATCCGGAGATCCGGAGATTGGCACTGCTCGGCTTCCTCCTTCCCTTCCATCTCTGCTCACTTCCCAGAGAGGCTGCCCCAGGACTGCTGCACTCACAGCCCCCACCCTGCCTTCCGACACCCTTCGTGTTTTACTCACTTGCCGAGGCAAGCAGCAGCTGTGGGGGACACACGGCATCAGAGTATGGTGTTGTGTGTTCTGTCCCCTGGGATCTCCAGGCCTGGCCAGGGCTGGCACACAGCAAGTACTTAATTCCTGTGCAGTGAATGAGCTAATCAGATGCAGTCTTCTCTATCAAGCCCCAGTCTCAGTGGCCAGCCTCAGGACTGCTGTGTGTGTCTGTGTGAACCCAGAGGCTGAGCTGTATCCCCAGCCGCTTATTTATGGAGAGACAAGGTCTCACTGAATTGCCCAGATGAGACTGGAACTTGCAATCCTGCTGCTTCTGCCTCCCAGAGTGCTGGGAGCCACCATACCCAGCGTACTTGTTCTCATCTGCCAGGACCGGGGATTTAGCTCAGTGGTTCCACCGCCTGCCTCAAAGGCGCAAGGTCCCGAGTTCAATCCCCGGAACCAAAAAAAATTTTAATTAATTTGTTCTTATCTGCCGGGCCTTTGCCCTGATCCTCCAATCCACTATTCAACCTTCACTGTTGCTCCATCCTACAACCTGGGCAACCCACCTCCGGCCTGTGCTGCTGGCAGAGCCAAGCGCTCGCTCCTCCAGATTCCCACCTGTCTTCCACTGTGACACAGTGGACAAACTGTGGCCACGGGGAGAATGCATTGCTCTGTGCTGAAGAATCAGCTGTGCCCAGCCATCTGCTGCATGGATTATGTCGCTGAATCACTCCAACAACCAATAAAGTTGCTGTTGTTATTATCCATGTTACAGTCAAGGAAACTGAGGCCCAAGCAGTGTCAGAGCGAAAATGTGAACTTGGCTTTGTCGGACTCCAAAGTCTGTGTTTGTCATTTTCAGAATCAGGTCCCTTCACGAGATTTGAGTTCGGAGACTCCAACCAGTGCTGAGGTGTCCCAGACCACCGAAGCAACAGGTAAGCAAACCCACCCAGGGTCTCAGAACGCTGGTCAGCCCTCAATGACACAACCAAAGCCAGTCTGAGACAGTGTGGCTCAAGGGAAGGAGCCGGATGTTAACCTGAGCTGCACCAGGAGACAAGGCTGAGATTGAGTCCACTTCCTTTCCTGTTGTGACAGGAGTTAGGGTTCTACGGGGCAGTAAGGACAACAGCCCCAAAGTGCAGTGGGGAAGGTCAGAATGGAGTCGGCTAAGTCACCACCCTCCAGGGATTTTACAAAAACATCTGCCCTATAAAGGATGTGGTCTCCTATAGGTGGAGATTGTATTACTTACACAATGGCTGAGTTCCCTCCTAAGGCCCTAAATAACCCCTAGACCAAGAGCCTTTGGGGGAACCTTTCTGGCTAGTGGGAGCTCTACTTTGCCTTTGTAACTTTTACTTCCTTGCCCTTATATCCCTTACATAAATTTGCTTATGCCCTACCTCCTCTGTCTGTGGTGGCATTCTGTCACCATGGGACACCTCAGCGTTTCAGCATCACTATCAGCTGTGTGACTCGGGGCCTTGCTCTCATTTGTGAAATGTGCAGCTGGACTCTGGACAGCGCTCTCTCCTGTCAGCCACAGGTTACAGCACTGAGGTTCCCGGAAGCCAGGCAAGGTGGATAGGCCAGGGGTAGATGCCTGACCCAAATGGGGCCAAGAATCTCAGGGAGCTTTCGTGAAAAGGTTTAGGGAGGAGCTGGCTACTCTCTTGAAAGGGGGAAAGTGAATTTAGGAGTCACTGGGGGGACTATTTTTTGCCACATAAGCTGAGAAAGCAAGAAATCTGGTGTTTAACCAAGCAAAAGCAAAAAGAATGATGTGGAAGCAGGGCGCTGTAAAGAGCTATAAACAGGTGTGGTGATGCCTGCCTGTAATCCCAGCACCCTGAGCGGTGGAGGTAGGAGGACAGCAAGTTCAAGGCCGGCCTCAGCAACTCAGCCTTGTCTCAGAATAAAAATAAGAAGGGCTGGAAATCCAGCTCAGCACTCCCGGGGTTCAATCACAGTTCTGGAGAGTGGGCACGTGGGGTGGAGCTACCCAAAGAGGACTTCCGGGGACCCTGCAGGGCTCTGTCTATTCTTTCTTGTTTTTCGGTACTGGGGATCAAACTCAGGACCTCAAGCTTGCTAGGCAGGCGCTGCACCAGTAAGCTACATCCCAGGCGCGTCATCTCTTCTTGACACCAGATGCGTCCTTTTGCCCTTGACTCCTGGGAAGCAGCTCCTCTAGACACGTGATGAAGTAACAGAGCTCCCTTCTGCTGCCGCTAGACTGGGTTTATCTTTTAACCAAGTCCTAAGTAATACAAATGCCCACATGAAAAATGCTTACCTCGGTAATAACCAATACACAGTTGCTAATATTATCATAATGAAGCCACACGGGCACGCACAGTATTACAGAACTAGACAAATTAATCATCATACCCAGTCCTCTAAACTGCTCTTCCCGGCAAGGGTAGCATGTCATGGGGTTTGTCCTTGGTCTCATACCCGGCCATAATTTTATCAATGGCTGTTAAAAGAGTGTTTATTAAGTCTGCAGATGACATTCAGACAGGAGAGACATAGAAAAAAACTGGATGAGGGAATCTGAATTGAGTTCAATTTCGACAGGCTAGAGATGGACCACAAAAAGCTTGATAAAATTCGTCATGGTCAAGGGACAGGTCCCGGCGAAGGAGAGAGAGTGGGAGGGAAGGGTGGTGAGAAAGGTTCACAGGACAAGAGCCAGGGCCTGCTTGGCTGGTGCTTGGTATGCAACCGTGAGGCGTGGCTGCCGAAACCCACTGCAGCCACAAACCCACATGGTGTGTCAGAAATGTGGCTCAGACCAAGAGAGGGAGCACTCATCAGTATGCGCTGTGTGCCAGGCTCCAGGGTGAGCACGTGACATTCACCACTGCAAGGGAGGCTCTCGGTGACCCCATCCTAGGGCACTGCCATCGTCACTGTCCCCCTCTACAGGTGCAGGTGTTGAGGCCCACAGCAGCAAGGAGACCTGACAGGGGAGAAGGGAGCATATTCGTGTCTGCACCTGGCTCTTTTGGGAAAGTGCACCCTGCCCCAATTGGTTCATATTGGAGCGTTCTGCTTGGTTCTGTGCAGGTCTCGCTTTTGAGAAAAATGAACATGTCCAGATGAAGGCCACCAGGAAGTGAAAACTACCAAGAAGTCACCTTGAGAATGGACCAGCTGGGCAGACCAACACATACCAACCTCCATGTCCACGCCCACAGGAATGATGCCATTTAATGACTGTGACAGCCTGGGAAAATAAGCAGGGGTGCCACTGGCAGATTACAACTTTTGAGAAACTCCGAGAAATGGGTGGCAGACCAAATTGGAATGGCAGATAAAAGCACATGCCAAAACAGAAGCTATGAAGCAATGCTGCCCAGGGAAGGGGGCCCCAGGAGGAAGAGGGGCAGGTCCCGGGCCAGGGTCAGAGAGGTGGGCTGAATACCAGCCTTCGGCACAATGACCTTGGGCCTCTGGGACAGAAAGGCAGGACACAGAAGGAGGAGAGGGAGGCCCTGTGCTCAGAAAGCAAACTATTACTCACATTTCTTGCAACACATTCTGGCCCTCTGCTAGCAATCACTGACAACACGTGAGATAAAAAAGAAACAGTGTCCACAGAGAAGAAAATAGGCAATCATTGTACACAGAAGAGTACACATCCACAGATCATCAAAGACTTCAGAGCGGCCAATTTAATAAATACAACACACAATAACCAAAGAAGCAGAAGTAACAATGCAAGCAGACATCTCAAAGGGGTACATATCATCAGAGGGATAAGAGAGGGCACTGCATCCAGCAACAGGACGGCGTTAGGAGAAAGAATTCCTTGGAACCACAAATAAAAGACTCAATCATCAAAATTTTTTGAAAAATCAAGACACTGAAGGGAAGTCTAAAAACACAGACAAACAGGCAATTAGTGATCTGGGCAATTAGGAAGAGGTGTTCCCTAACACCCAGGAATAAGGACATTGAGGCCTGGCAAAAATATAAATGGCCCTTAAGCTCATTCTTGGCAAAGTTTTAGAAAGATAGGTTTTTCTCTCAAATATTTTTGGTAGAAGTAAAAATTTTTTCTCAGACTATTTACAGGGAAAAAAAGACACATAAGCTAAACAAATTCCTATTATTTAGGCCAAGGGTCAGCAAATTATAATAATAAGTCAGATCTGGCAAGCTACATATTTTTGGAAATAAACTTTTTTGGAACACAGCCACACTTACACATTTAGACATTAACTATGGCTGATTTCATGCTTAATGGCAGAAATGAGCTCTGAGAAAGAGTGTATAGCCTGTAAAGACTAAAATATTTGTATCTGGTTCTTTAGTGAAAAAAACTGTTGATTTGGGCCCCCCTGATATGGGCCATTATTAATTGATGAACTCAATTTTTTTGTTGTTTGTTTTGCTTTGGTTTTTTTTTTGTACCAGGATTGAACTTAGGACCTTGCACTTACGAGGCAGGCGTGGTGCCACTGAGCTAAATCCCCAGCCCAAACTCACATTTTCTTTGCAATTTAACTTTTTTTAGCAATTACTGAAGGTCTGTACCACAATGATAAAGAATGAACTACTAATACATTTTAAAAATGAATGACTCTCTCAGATAGATTTAGTAGAGGAAAAAGACAGAAAAATTGCACTTGTATGAAGAAGTTCAAATACAGGCAGAATCTACCCTTTTGAGGAGTCTAGATAGTGGTTCCTCTGGGAGAGGTACACAATTGGGAAGGGACATGCAGAAGTCCCCTGGGGCACAGGGAACGTCCTATATTCTGATGGGGCAGAGCTAATACAGGTGTATTCATACAAAAAACTCATAAAACTATGCATTTAAGATTGTCCACTTTATTACACCTAAGTTAAACCTCAATAAATAAAAAGTTTAAAAAGAGTAATGGATGGTAGGCATTTTTGTTTGTTTTTGGTTTTTTGGTACCAGAGTTCGAACTCGGGTCTTTGCGCTTGCGTAGCAGGTGACGGAACCACTGAGCTAAATCCCCGGCCCTGGTAGGCATTTTTTAACTGTCCCTGTTTAAATGATGATCCTGATTCTGAAGTATATGTAATTGCATAGTGTTATAGCTTGTGTCTAGGTGTCCCGCCAAAGCCTCATGCAGTCATAGGTGGCTTTTTCAGAGGTGGGTGGATCTAGAGTGTATAATGCCAGGATTAAGGGTGTGATCACTAAACCAGAACCCTGATTGCTTTGGCACCGACCTAATCCTGGTGCCCTTGTTAGAATATAAATGGGGCAGAAGCTGCCAAGGTCCCTTGCTTTGCTACCTTCTGCCTGGTGTGAACTGTCTCTCATCACTTGCTTGCTGCCAGGCCACCCTGCCTTGCAGCCAGCCAACTACGAACTGAAACCTCTGCACACTGTGAGCCAAATAGACCTCTCCTCCTTTAACTTTAGGTGTTGGGTATTTTGTCTCAGCAATGAGAAAAGTAACTAAGGCACACAGGAAAACATAGAAAAACAACTAGGGGCTGGGGATTTGGCTCAGTGGTTCTGGTGCTTGCCTTGCAAGCGCAAGATCCTGAGTTCAATCCCCGGTACCAAAAAATAAAAAAATTTAAAAAAAGAAAAACAACTAATACTTTCTGTATTTTCTCATTTCTCTACAATCAGTAGGCATTAGCTCTGGAATCAGAAAGAGACCCACAATGGCTAACGCAGGCCCAGCTGGGACGGGGTGCCCCCAGGTGTGAACTACAGCTCCCCTGCCTTCCCTGCCCTAACCTCAGCTACCCCAGGGGCTGATGGGACCCAGTGGAGAGGGCCAGCAAACATTTCCGCAACCCTGGCAGGATGGCTCGGAGTACTTCACGTGTTGTGTTCTTTGGATGCTCCCAACAGCTGCAGGTACTGTATTTCCAGCTCCATTCTGCAGATGAGGAAACTGAGGCCCAGAGACCACACAGCCATTAAGTGGTGCAGCCAGAATGCAAACCTGGCCCGTCGGACCCGGCCCTGGCCCTGGGCCCTCAGCTCCGGAAGTTTTCACACTGCTAGTCATCTCCCAGGACACCAGCCACGCGGTGAAGAACCCAAAGACTGTTGAAAGAGTTTAGGTTTCTACATGTTTCTTAAAAAGTGTTAGGTAGTCATCTGGGGAAGCATTCCAGAGCTTGGCTGAATTTCCCTGCACTTAGTTCATGGTTTTGATTTGAATTTCGGTCATGTCCATGGGCTCTGCACCTGCAGATCCAACCAACTACAGAGTGAAACTGGTTGAGGGAAAATCCATTGCACCTGTACAGTCTTCTTCATTATTCCCCAAACAATACCATAAAACAACTATTTATGTAGCGTTTCCATTGTGTCAGGTATAAGTAATCTAGAAATGCCAGAGTATACAGGAGGATATGTGCAGTGAAATACAATACTATGCCATTTATAAAAAGACTTGAGCACCTGTGGATGCTACGATCTGTCGGGGTCCTGGGACCAAGCTCTGTGGACAGAGGGAGGCTTTGTATAGCAAAGGTGGAAGGAGGGAGCAGAGTGGCTTCCGTGGGCTCTAATGGAATCCACCTATTGTTTTTCTTTCTTTTATTTTAATTTATTAGCCCATGTTTGTCATACCTAATGTGTACATTCCTCCTGTGGAGTTGGTGCATGTACACAACACATCCCAATTCCTTTTTTTTGAGACAGGGTCTCACTATGTAGTTCAGGCTGGCCTTGAAATCACTATGTAGCCCAGGCTGGCGTGGAACTCACAGCAATCCTCCTGCCTCAGCCTCCCAAGTGCTGGGACTATAAGCGTGTGCCACCACAACTGGCCTCCAGTTCCTCTTTTCCATCCCCCACAACCCGCCCATTGTTAATTGCATCTAGTTGGGGGAGGGGAAGATCAGACTGCCTCCACCTGTCAGATGAAGAAACCGATGCTGACATCATCGGGCTGCTGATGTGTCTGCCTTCCTATTCTCCTGCCCAGCCCCATGCTCCTTTCTAGCTATGATCCTGCAGCCGGGTCCTAAGGAGAGAAAGCAAGTGTCACGAAGGAAAGCCAGCTGGGCTCTTATGCCTGCCCCGAACGGCTCACTGAGTCCTCCAGACAATGTTACAGATAAAGTTCCTCTCAGAGGCCGGGCGTGGTGGCGTATGCCTGTCTCAAAAATCCAGAAAGATAAAGTACATGTCAGCAAGGTTTAGGACATGCCTAAGAGCCCTAGCTGTCTCCCAAAGTGACCCATGCTCTTGGTTCTTGTCCAGGTGGCCCAGAGTACAGCTTACTGGCTCAGTCTGGTAAGTTCTGCAGACAGGGTAGGTTGCTCACTGCTCTGAGGTTCAAAGAAGACAGTGGACAAGAAAGCCACTTGCTTTTTTATCAGTACTGGGGGCTGAATTCAGGACCTAGACACTGAGTTACAACCCCAGCACCTTTTTAATTTTTTATCTTGAGACAAGGTCTTGCTAAATCACTAAGTTGCCCAGGCTGGGCTCAAATTTGGGATCTGCCTGCCTCGGCCTCCCAGACTGCTGGGACTAGCTGGGATGACAGGCATTTGCCACCATGCTTGGTATGAAATCCATTTTTCGGGGAGGGGGTTTAAGACAGGGTCTCACTGTGCAGTTCAGGCTGGCCTCAAACTCTCAGCGATCCTATTGCCTGGCTTTCCAGTGCTGGATTACAGGTGTGCACCACAAAATTGGGTTTGAAATCCACTTTTAATGACGGCGTCATCCGTCAGTTTCACCATTCCTGCCACAAGGTGGCCTGGAGCAGACAACTGCTTTTTTCCTGCCCGCCATCCTTTCCCCTTCCTCTGGCAACAGCATCCTTTGGGAAGGTGCCCCCTCCTGCCTTATTAACATGGGACTGATCCCCAGGATGCTGTCCCGTCCCCCTGGCTGGTGCGACTCCATCTGGGGACTCAACTGAATGTCCCACTTGGAGAGCTGCTCTCTAGTTACCACAGAGGAGGACAGAGTCCAGCAGCCATGAGTCAGAGCACCTGCATCCAGCCACACCTGATTTTGCCCACCACGGACTTTTCAGCAATATTAGCCAACAAATTTCCTTTTTGTTGAACTTGGCCTGAGAACAGTTTCTATCACTTAAGTGGAATCTGGGAGACATGGCCTGTAGATGAAGTCAGAACCACTAGCTCTTGCCAGACCTAGGGGTCCAGAAAGGACTTTGAGGCCCAGAGAGAAAAGAGGGTGTCCTGCTCGGCAGTGACAGTAGGGCTGGGGCCCGTGTGGTCTGGTGTCCCTGTCGCCCTCACCCGGGTCCTCCACAGGTGTCCCCAGGTGGGGGGACAGTTCCCACAGGGCTTCTGTCCTGGAGAGAGCGCTTGTGTGATCAGCATGCAGGCACCTCCTTTTCTTCGATCATACCATTCTTTCTTCTAATCATATTCCATACTCCATAAAGCGCTTTTTCTGAGTGGCGGCAGGAGGTGAAGGGAGACACTTTAAAGGCAATTTCATGCCTAGGATCTGAGGATAGAGAAAACTTTGATGATGCTCTGTTGAAGGGCACACTGCTTATCCAAAACAGGCTCGGGAAAGGGAAGCTGTCAACATTATCTCTTTCTGGTCACAAACTGCAGCTCTCTGATGGGCTTTTTCCTAGAGTTTAATCTTGTGCTAGAAGCTAAGCTGATACCAGGAAGGTTTTAGACATGTCAATCTCCTTCCTGGCCTTTATTAGAAATTGATTCTCTTTGCATTTCAAGGCTCCAGCCTTGGCCTTGCCATTGTTAAACTTGGGTCTCAGGTACTGTGCCAATGCATGTCTCCTGCTGCTCCCAACCTGCTTGCAGGGGTCTTAGAGCTGGCTAAGGATTCAGACGCAGTGAAATTCCAACCGGAAGGGATGATGCGCCATTCTTTGATCACACCAAATGCAGGAGGAACAGTGGCCCAAGCTGTGCCCTGCTCTTTCTTGGCAAGACTTTCACTCTGCCCCTGCCTCCTGCCCCCAACCTGGCTTTTAAGGAATTAGCTTTTCAGACAAGCTACATTGCCCCTGTGAGTCCTAAATTATAATATTCAAGATTATTGAGCTCCTAGTAGGCGCAAGGCACTGTACTAAGCACTTTATCCACAGGAACCCACTGAATCTATGCCAAAACTCTATGGGACAGGTTCTGATTATCCCTATTCTACCAAAGGAAACCAAGTCAACGAGCAGGTAAGTCACTTGTCTGAGTGACTGAGCTGGCCTAGGGATCCAGTCTGCCTGGTTCCAGGGTTCACAGGCTCAAGTACTCTGCTGCCCTGCTTCTAACCCTACCAGGGTTAGACTTACTTGCCCTACATGAATCAGAAGTTGTCCAGGTTACCAGGCATTCCACTCTCCACGTTCTCAAAGCTACAGAGACCAAGACCTCAAGAAGCAGCTGGATCTAAAATGGATTTAGCTCGGCTGAGGATTTAGCTCAGTGGTGCCACCGCCTGCCTTGAAAGCGCAAGGCTCCGAGTTTGATCCCCATTACAAAACAAACAAAGAAACAAATAAAATGGATTTTGCTCTTCTCTGCCCAGAAAGATGAACTAAAAGGTTTCATTCCGGTAAAAGTGCAGGTTGGGAATGTCAGCTGTCATACAGGGGTCTTGTAATGTAGTATTACCAGCTTGCTTTTTTTTCTTCCTTTTTAAACATTTTTTTCCCTTAGGGGTGCTGGGACTCAAGCATGCTAAGCACACTGTTTATCACTGAGGTTCATGTTCAGCCTAAACAAATTTTCAAACAAAGCAACTGAGATCTTGTAAGCATGTGAAGGGGCAGCTCTTCGTTCCTCAGAAGATGGAAGGGCTGGGGATTTAGCTCAGTGGTTCCAGCGCCTGCCTTGAAAGCACAAGGTCCTGAGTTCAATCTCTGGCACCAAAAATAAAAATAATAAAATTAAAAACAAAAAGAAGACAGAAGCTGCAAGAATACTGAGAGAAGGGGAACCAAGTCCTGCTTTTGCTCCCTAGCGAATCCAAACATAACAGGAAGCGTCACAGTCCGACTGGCCTCCTGTGATCAGCCAACATAGGTGCTCCGAGCCCAGGGCAAGGGGCCAGGGCTTTCAGAAATCAAGGTGTCGGACATGCCCCAAGTCCTTCTCAAGTAAACTGCATTGCTCCCACCCCTACAAGACGAGTAGACTAGCAAACTATGGGGGCTGGCCACTGAGAGGCTCCAGTATGGGGACACTGCCAGGACATCCACACCTGAACTTGGCCAGCACTCCAGGAGGTGGCGTGGGACCCAAAGCTCTGGCTCTCTTAGCCACCATTAGAAGATGAACTGGAAACATTTATTTAAATAAAGCATATCACCTTTCATTTATAATTCTACTTTTAAGAATTTGACATCTGGCTACTCTTGCACATGTGCAAAGATGTCTGCTCTAGGATATTCTTTAAAGTATTCTTCATAGTATTTAAAGCAGTAAAAGACTATTCATAGCCGAGACATTAATTAACCAGGAACTATTAGTACATTTATGCAATTATTTAGTAGCATAATCTGATCTGAACTGACATGAAATGCATAACCTTCCTTATCCCACTTAGAATGAATATTCATATTTTGCTATACATATATTAATGCATTTGATTACAGGGCATTTCTCCCAGCCCTACTGGGATGGTATTACTTTCTATACCTAAGAAAATGAACCATTGGTCCCAGAGGTTTCAAATAAAGGATTATATTCTAGTGCATCCACAGCAGAGTACTATGAAGTCAGAAAAAAACGTGGTCTGCCCGCATGTCCTGCTATGGCATGTGCTCCAGGCTACACTGTAAAGTGTAAAAAAAAAAAAAAAAAAATCCAGGAACAAAACAGTGTGTGCCACATGCTACTGTGTTAAACAAGGAGGGAAGTGGGCGGGTGGGTGTAAAAGACAGGACTATGCTCTGTATGGCTGAATGGCTTCAGAGTGTTTCTAGGACCCAAGAAACTGATTACAGTGGCAGGGTGTGGTGGTGCATGCCCATAATCTCAGCCACTAAGGAGGCTGGGGCAGGATTAAAAAGTTAAACCCATCCTGGGCAATTATGGAGAGCTTGTCTCAAATCTGTTTTTTGTTTTGTTTTGGTACTGGGAATCAAACTCAGGACCTTGCACTTGTGAGGCAGGCGGCAGCACCACTGAACTACATCCCTGGCTAGTCTCAAAATAAATCTGAAAAAGGGTTGGGAGTGGGGTGCGGTGGTGCATACTGGTAATCCCAGTACGGGGGGGGGGGCGCTGAAGCAGCAGGATCCGAGTTCAAGGCCAGCCTGGGCTACACAGCAAGGCCCCATCTCAACCACCCCTCACCCCAAAAATAAGGCTGGGGAATTGCCTGTGGCAGAGCACTTGTCTACCACACATGTGGCTCCCAGTTCAATCTCCACTGCTGTCAAAAAAATACGAAAGAAAGTGATTTCTGCGGTTGCCTCTGGGAGGGGAGCTGAGAGCTGGCGTCAGAAGCACGGGGTCTCTTCAACGCTCTTCTTCTTTCTTTTTTCAGTGCTGGAGATCTAACCTCGCCTCCCTCCCCAAATACTCTTTTTGGTACGGGGGACTGAACTCAGTTCCTTGTGCTTGCGGGGCAGGCGGCGGGACTACTGAGATAAATCCCCAGCCCTTCCCCAAACACTCTTGAGAGTGAGCCGATTCTCCCTCTGGCCTTTGAACTGGGCTTCTAGAGAAGGAGCAGCCAATAGAGAGGGCGGAAGGGCCAAGCGAGGCGCAGATGATAAAGTAGGGCGTGGCAAAAGCAGGGGAAGTGGGCGTGGCCTGTTAACTACAAGATCCTGGACAGGGCGCAGAACGGCTCCCAGAGCCCTGCACTGCTTCCAGCAGGAGCTCCAGCGGGTTTTCAGTAGGAGGCCTAGACTGACAGCCTGAGCCCTGCCTCTCAGGACCCGGATGTAGTTGTTGCGGGTTTCCTTCAGCTTTATACAGTATAAAAGGACACATAAAAGGCCATGAAAGTTTTGCTATCACTGCTTGCTACGCTAGCCCACATTTTTTCCCAGATGCAGTGTGTACTTTTATCTTTGGTCTTACCCTCTTTTTCTATTTATTCAGCCCAAGCGCACTCTGCAGAGCCAGTTTCTTCCTTATTCCACTTTTCCTTTCTCCAATAAACTTTGCCACTGCTCTTTGCTCCTTCCATTTAATTCTTTATTCTAGACGAGAACCTGGAATTCAACTCCAGAAGGAGAGGCGAGCAACCCCAAACCTGGTAAGTTTTAGTTGGCAAGCCACTTTTTAGAAGAAAGCTACCCGATAACAGCGACCCAGCGGGGAGTGGGGGCGCCTGGGAGCGCTCTGAAGTGACTGGGGGTGGGGGTGGGAATCCAGATAACCCGTTCCTGGAAACACCCTCGCCTTCTCTCCTTTGCTGTGTTCCCAGGGCCCTGTCTCCTTTGCTTGGGAAAAATGCAGGGAGCCTCTTCTTGCACCAAGTCTATTAAAAACAGGAACTGGGGTGTGTGTGCGACATGTGCATGCATGCAAGGGAAAGACTTAACGTTTCCTAGGTGGGTAAATTAAATGACTTCTGCAATCTCTTACACGTGAGCTCAGCAGATGAGTGCACTGTGAAGCGCATTTTCCTGAATCTCCAATCAACTGCATCATCAACTGCTGGCATCCCATTATCCTGGGAGGCTGTCAAGGTGGTTAAGAGGGGTCCTGTAGCGGACCCACTTGCCCGAGGACACCCAGCCTGAAAGCCTGGAGTCCACCTAGAGGCTAGCTGGAGCCACAAAGGCCCCTTCAGAAGTGCCATGTGCTGTTGTAACATCCAGGGAGGGGTGTAGACCTCGACACGCCATCCACTGCTGTGCTGGAACACACTGCCCCCCCCCCCCGCCCTCAGTCCTACACCCAGTGTTGGTAAAGAGCTGAAGAAGCAGAGTTTAAAATAAAGGATGGCGACTTATTTGAAGGTGGAATGGGGGGAAGGCAGACATGGTGGACAGGTACTTTGGATGAGGAGGATATTCGAAATGACATACTTGAGGGTTCCTTTTATTGAGATCCTTGTGCCTAGTAGGCTCCTGGGATCTGACTGGCTGGCCCCCTGGCTTGTCTTTCATCCTTACCTTGGATTTTTTTTCTGGCCCAGAATTCCGGTCCTTGGGGGGGGGGCTGGCGGGTTTATCGTGGGTTTATCGTAAGGTAGTTTAGATTTAAGGATTAAGTAAAGGGGAAATTTGCGATTCTTATGTTAATTGCGCCACCAGGGACCTTCCAGGTCTTGAATTTCTTCCTCATTCTTTGCCTTTGTCTAACTGCTCCAGTCTAGCTGCAGACCTCAGAAGCTGCCTTAGAAGGATTTTCTATTAATTTAATAAAGCCCAATCAGGCCTTCATCTTATCTTTTCCTTACCAACAGGGCCCCTGTCCCTACATTGCCTCCTCCCTGTTCATCTCTCTTTAATGCTAGACACTCGAAATTATGTGACACTAACATTTAAGGAATGCTGGGCCGGGGGATTTAGCTCAGTGGTTTCGCCGCCTGCTGCGCAAGCACAAGGACCCAAGTTCAATCCCCAGTACCAAAAAAAAAAACAAACCAAAAAACACATTTAGGGAATGCTTACTATGGGTCAGGAACTATTGGCGGTATTGTAAGATATTTCAGGTGAGAGTGGTTACAAGGGGCCCTGCTGCTGGGATTTGCCCTGCTTGACTCTAGGACTTGTTCTATAGCCCTCTCAGGCCCCCATGGGTACTAATCCAGAGTGGCTCCTCCGCTGCTGTGTGCGGCAGCAGGCTATGTCCCAGGACAGTGCCTGTGACCTCCACTGTGGACACTGGGTGGACACTGGGTGTTGAACTGGATGATACACAAAGATTTCTCCCTTCTCTGTGATCTTCTTTCTTTTTTCTTTTTTTAGCACTGTATGATAAATTTGCTTCCTAATGATTTTTGAATAAACTACAATGACCACAATTTCAAAATCATTAATAATTCATGACCAAGGGCCATAAACACTATATAATCTCTACAGGCAGGAACCATGAATACTTTGTTAGAGACGAGGTTGAGGATATTTCAACCAGCTGAACTGAAAGTATTTACTGACTTCAAGCAAACCATCAAAGCGACATTTTTCAGAAATGACTAACTCTTACAAGGCCTCAGCTCAGGCTGGCTCTTCTGGAGCCCTTCCCTGCTCTGGCACCCCTGGCCCTTTACCTGGGGCTCCTCCAGTTGATCACCATATTCCCCTTTGTGACTGCCTGTGTCCCTGAGGGGTGGAAAACAGGCGGAGGGCTGGAGGTGCGGCCTGTGCTGGAAGCACCTGGGCCAAGATCGGGGCGCTGGGCTGGGCTGGGGGTGTGGCTCTGCAGGATGGCACCTGCCTAGCATTCCGAGAGGGCCTGGGCTTCATCCCCACCAAAAGACAAGTGAAGAGACATGGCTACCAAATGCCGTTAGGATGGAATGACTGTTAGCCTTCATCCCACAGTCGGCCTCCTCCGGTGCACGGAGGAGAACCTCCTTTAGGCTACAGACTAGCATAGATGGGAGCTGGGCTATAGCTCAGTGGTGGAGCACCTGCCTAGCAGGGGTCCTCTCCAGCAGCAAGAAAAGCAAAAAAAGAGCCAGGGCCTGTTTGCAGCACAGAACCACTTCTTATCCATTGGCTGCACACAGGTCCTGCTCAGAGAATTAAAACACGATGGTGAGGCCACGCCCCCAGAGGTTCTTAGCTGGTCTGGAGAGCCACTGAGACAGCGGGGACTGAGTGCCCAGGTGACGCCCACCGGCAGTGGTCTGTGAATCCGACATGAGGAACCCACACAGGGCCGCCACTGCAGCTGCAGACCTGCTATCATCAAACAGGTGGGAGCAGGGATGCAAACTGGGGGCCCCCTAAAAGGGGGCCACCAAAAACACTAAGAATAAAGACAAAACAAATGGGGAGGCCACACTAACAATAGACATTGCCCACTGACAGGGATGAAGACAGTGTTTCCTTATTTTTCCAAAGAAACCAACAGTCTGCATTTTTATGGAAAATCTTCCAATGTTTAAGTGTGAATTCTTACTTTTTAAAAAACTGGAAGAGGGCTGGGCATAGTGATGCATTCCTGTAATCCCAGCACTTGGGAGGCTGAGGCAGGAGGATCATGAATTTAAGGCCAGCCTAAACTACACAGCAAGATCCTATATTAAAGACAGAAAGACAGACAGATTTTAACAGTGTATGGGTCAGACACAACACATCTTTGGGCCTGGCAAGCGCCCTGAAAGCAGCCTCCCACCTCCCCTTCACTGTGTCAATCCATGACCACCAAAAGAGGTGCGGTGACCACCCCGCCTTAGGGTGGGGACCACATGTTCACCTGCCTGAGAGTGAGCCGCCTGATCAACCTCAGCACCCAAGGAACGTGCCGCATGCCTCCAACCAGCTCTGGGAAAGATAGCTTGTTTTTTCCTTGCCTTTCGGGTGGCACAGCTTGATCCATACCTGGCAACCTGTGTAAGGCACAGAGCGCCAGGGAGTCCAGCTTGCACACATGAGAGAGCAGCCAGAGAAGTGGGTGGAAAGGCGCGTTACAATGTATCGAATGAGAAACCTGGCAGCTTGCTGTTAAGTTTGTTTTTCCCTCTTCTGTTTTTCTAACCAAATGAAAGCACTGTTCAGAGTCCTGCGCCCTCTGTTTTTAGAGGGCCTGAAACCACCTGAAATGTCTTTCAGGGTTAAACCTGGGCACTGAGATAAACAGCCTCACTCTTTTGTCTTCTCTCAAGTCAAACACTTCTTAGGAGAGGAATGATCCGAAATGCACTCGGGCAATTGGCACAATGGGAGTAGCTGGGGAAGTGGCAATTAGGGGCCTCCTGTTGCCAAGGAGAGAGGAGAGAAGGGAGGAGAGGGAGATTATCTGGCCAGTCTCTTGCCAGGAGTCCTGGGGTGCACTGTTCTGTGAGCAGAGGCCCAGGTTAGGTGCAGCAGTTCATTCCCAGCTTGGGTGCTATCTCTACCTTTGCACTGAGCCACGGGGCCTGCAGGCCCACACTTACTCCCATCCTTCGCCCTCCACCTCAAGGCCAGGAAAATCCACCCCAGCTCAGCCTCTTGATTCCCCACTCGGGCGACATTTAGATCTCTCAGCATCAAAGTTCCTCGGTTGGCTCCCAGCCTCGTCCCAGGTAGGTGGGCTGACAAAAGAGAGCCTGCACTGGCTGTTCTGGCAGCAGCTGAGAAGGGAGCCAACAGGAGAGGGAGTCACTTGTGGTCACGGCAAGGCACGAGAGGCTTTTGCAGCCCAACCTCGCTCGGCACTGTACCTGAGCCAGCTGCCAGCCACAGCAAAGGAAGGCAGTGCCGGGACATGAGACGAGAAAGAGAAGAGCAAGCCCTGGGCCAGCTTAGCCTGACAAATCGTATCACCTTGCAAGCAAAAGCTGTAATGTAAGGGTTGACGAATTTCAGGGCTGCTGGATATTTTTGATGACCCACATACCCTCATTCCCCTGCACCTGTACACCCACATGCCACTAAATAAGACACCAATTTAAACTCCCATGTGCTGTGTCTTGCTCAAATAGCCCTGTGGTGACAACCATGCGTCTTTGCTACCACGTCCTGCCCCAGTTAAAAGGTCTGATCTTGCAACTTTCCCATTCATGTCGCTCCGACTCTGACCGTGTTGTTTCCTGGAAACTTGTACTCATCCTTCAAAAGCAAGTTTACACATCTTTTCTGAAAAGCCCTTCTTGATACTCCTGGAAGAGTTAGGTTCACTGGATTTTTCTTTTCCATGGTACTGGAGATTGAACCCTGGGCTTCTCACATGCTAGGCAAGCACTCTACCACTGAGCTATGACCCTAGCCCTTTTTTTTCTTTTTAGACAAGTCTTGCAGAGTTGCCCAGGCTGGCTTCAAGCTCGTGATCCTTCTAGAATAGCTGGGATTACAGGTATGCACCACTGTGCTTGCCAAGCACCGAGGTTTCTCCATTACAACTCCATCCTCTCTGTCCCTCTGTGAGGGCCGTAGCCTGCCATACTGGGCCATCCCGCTGTACCTCTCTTCCTCCCACATGGTGCATACAGCAACTGTCCCACCCCTCTGCCAGTCTCCCTGGTGCCTGGCACTGGGCAGGCAGGCTCAAGGGGTGGGTTCCAGAATGGTCATAATCTTTAGCAGCTCTTCCCCCAAGAGGCAAGCCTCTTTCCCCAACTCTTTTTGCTTTTTCTTAAATTCCCCGCCTCTTGAATGGCTGACCTTGTGACTTGCTTCAAAGCCCCTGGACACAACTGGGCCTGACAAATATCCTTTCACTTTAAAAAGCACCCAAAGGGACACTGTGCCAGTTGTCACCCTGGGAGTCGAGAGGTCCTGCCCCTGTACTTGTGTGCTGAACCCAGAAGCACCATGTGGGCAAGCCCAGCCAGAGGATGGGCGGCAATAGGAGGAGAGCAGTCACCCTAACTGACGTCCAGCCAGCTGCCAGGTGACAAGCAGTCAAGTGCCACACACGAGGGAGCCCCAGCGGAGAGGAGCAGAGCCTGGGCCCAAGCTGCTGATCCACAGACTCAGCACTAAACACATGGGTACTGCTTTCATGAACTGAAGCTGGAGTTTGTGTTACACAAAGCTAGTGGAAGCAGAGTAAGAGACTATTATTATAAATGACACTGGGTGGACACGTCTCACTGCCAGTTAGCATTTCATCCAGGATTCCAACCTGAAACTGAGGAGGGAAAGGGAGGAGGAGGAGTCTCAGAACCCTTATTCTCCACTCAGAGCCCCAGGCCTTTCGGATAGAGTCACCTCCTCACAGCCCCTGCCAGGGACACATTTACCTCCTTCCTCTCCCGTGAGCAGGGCTGGCTTCTCTCAGCCTTTCGCAGAGTCTGACCTGTAGTGGTTCAAAAGCAGAAGCAGAGATGAAGGCTGTTTTAGAACAGCGAGTTTATCATCGCAAAAGCTTTTTATTTGCAAACTGAATAGACAGGACCAATCATAATCAAATGATTTTAAGAAAATGTAGCCTATTATTATAATGGGAAAATGGCACACATTTGAAATAGACCAATGGCAAGGAAAATGGCAATTCATACACTTGCGTTATCTGACTATAATGAAAAAAGCTCCAGCCCTTTAATCTGGAACATTATCTGCACTCTGAAAGGGCTGACGGACTGTAGTTTTCCCAGTCGAATTACATTTCTATTAAATTGTTTGGAATTATATAAAATGCCTTCCACAAAAATGCCTTCCGCTGTGCGCATACACATAAACTCTGATGAGTGGAGTGTGCACCGAGCACTGCACCAAACCCCCAATCTCGCAGCACAGGTGACGGTGCAGATGTGAATTAGCTGTAATCACCCACATTTCACATAATGGGCAATTTCAGAGAGAATTGTTGCTTCTCTCAGAAAACCTGAGGACTAACATTTGAAAGTATGCATAAATCCAACAGAGACATCATGTTTAAATATGCTGTTCCAAATGCAGTTTTCACAACTTTTATGGAATTGTCCACTATAAAAGAATTCCTTGATGGAAGATTAATAGATTGCTGTGGTTCTAAAATATAAAGCAGGAGTCGCCGCGTATTATCCATGAAGCTCCTAAACTGCCCCATCTCACTCCCAAGTGGCTGTGAGAATGTCACAGCCACATGTCCCAACAGGTAGGAGCACTCAGGAGGCAGGAGCAAAAGGACCCAGTGACAAAATAGCTAGAGACAAGAGACAGGGACCACGCTTCAGAGGAAAGACATGGTCACTTCCGATGGGTCTGCACATGTGAGGAGCAAAGGAGAGCTCACAGCTGGAGATAAGGCCCAAGGGGTGATGCTCTTGCCAAGAAAGTGGGAACAGGGCAAGAGGAGGGACTCAAGGATGAACCTCTGGCAACAGGCAAACTCTGGGGCCAATACAGAAAAGGACTGCAAAGGAGGGGGGCTGGAGAACTTATAGGAGAGTGTGGCCTGTATGGTGTCATGGTACGGTGGGTATCTTGTTAGTTATCTGCTGCTACAGTTTGGATCTTGAATGGCCCTCAAAGGCCCATGTGTTAAAGGCTTGATCCTCAGCCCATGTTGCTGTCAGGAGGTAAAAGAACATGAGGAGGTCGGGTAGTGGAAGGAAAATGGGTCACTGGGAGCAGAGCACGCCCTTAAAGAAGACCGTGAGACCCTGGTCTCTTTTCTTCCTCTTATTCTGGCCATGAGATGACTGGTTTTGCTCCACCATGTGCTCCCCCCACGATGTGCTGCCTCACCACAGGCCCCAAAGCAATAGGCTGACCATAAACTGAAACTTCCACAACAGTGGGCCAAAATAACCCTTTCCTCGTTTTATGTTGACTGTCACAGGTGTTCATACAGGAATGGAAAGCTGACGGCATGTCTGCTCAGCCCAGCTCACAGTGACCCTCTAACGTGCCTACTGTTTTCCTCTCCTCCCCGTTCACAGGGCAGGACCTAGGGCACTCATGACTGCACCTCACCCTATGCCCAAATCCTCAATGCTGCACTGGGAATGAAGCCCTGCTTCAGCTACACCCAATCAAAATCCCAGCCCAGGAATATGGAACTGGGTCTGAGACAGAGAAGAGAGACAGAGCTAACCCCATGTGCAAGCTGAGATGCGGTGAGTAGCCAGCAGCCACCTGCTTTGGGACAGACTAACAGAAATACCAGGGCTCCAGGACAGAGGGACCTGACCTGAAATTGCCTATCCGCCTGTCTTTGTGATCCACAGACACTCAGAACCACTTTCTCTAAGCATGTGTGTTTTCTCTGTCACCCTAAGACAGAGAACCTAAGATTTAGGGGTGAAACAGAGCCCAGGACAATGTGCCACTGTGATGTGGGGTGCTGACAGTGGAAGGTTCTATGTGGCCATGGGGGATATTTGGGGACTTTGTACTTTCTGCTCAGTTTTGCTGTCAGCTTAAGACTGCCCTAAAAATAAAGTTTATTAATTTAAACACACATACAAAACAGAGTCCAGGATTTGGGGACCAGGAGATGTGGCCATTGGTCAGGTTGATCACGACCCCTGGGGCATGAGCCAGAGAGCTCTGCTCTGAGAAATCCTCAGCCACAGCTGCTCTGGCTGTCAGCCCGAGGCTGGCCAGAGACTGCGGTGTGTCGGGTACACAGTCCACACCATGCAGGGCCAGAAGATGGACTAGAACTGGGGGGGACCACACAGGCTAGAGGCCGGGGCTGCTGACGGCATCTCAGCAACAGGAGCAGCGCACAGGCGGGTGAATACTGGCGGGTCCACGGGGCCAGCGCCAGGCCAGGGCTGACACGGCTGCATAAGTCTGGCTGGGGCCCTTCCACTGCTGGTCACAGTGTCTTGGGGATCGGGTCCTGGGGACAACTGGCCAGCCAAAGGGACTTTGGGTAAGTCACTGAACTTCACTAGGCCATGACCTGCCTCCAGTTTTTCGTTTGTTTTAAATGAGAGTCACGCAGAATCATTTCTGGGTTTGCTTTCCATCTCCTAAAATTCCATCGCACCAATAAAGCACAGTAAAAAGCCATTAGGCTGGGCCATAAAAACAGAATATTAATACAGAGAACACAGAGCTTCAGTACTGATATGTGAAAGCAAATCTCTCTACTGGAGTTAATTAGAAGTGTCTTTATTCATTAAATTGGAAAATAATTTTGCTTATTTTCTGATGAAGATAATTCACTCTAATTATGGGTATTTGTTACCTAACCTCCCCACAAGACAAGTCGGCCCTGACCCCACACCCGGAGCCTCTCTCCTCTTCTTCTAGGCCACCTGACGTGGAGACGGTGGCTTCTTGCCAAGGACAGGAGAGCTGTACCAGGTGCCACTGTGCCTGTCTCCCGCACTTAGCATCCCTGAGCATCTCCCTACCCATATCTCATTTATTCTCACAACTCAGGGAGAGACGTGGAAGAAGATGACATTAATATCTGTATATGCTGCTTGCAAAATTAAAGGGGTGTTGCTCTGTGTTGCAAGGTGACCTGCCTGCATCAGCTACGAGGCAATAAACAAGGCTGGAGGTAAATGACACGCGTGTACTTCGCTGTATAGAACAGATGTGTGCCTGGGGAAAAGAAAAGAGAAACAAATGCACTGAATTTTTGTAAATGTAATACTATTTTTCTGCTTATGATTTCAGAAAGGGTTTATCTGCACTTAGGATTTATGTTCAATGGTCAGAAGGTTCTGACACTTCGATTTTTACTTGGCTCTAGATGCAGCTAATACTCATTGCTTGCTATCATTTAGAGGGGAGTCACTTCTTCCTGGGATGTTAGTTTCTGATGTCATCAGACAAGGAAAAATCAATTTCCAAATTACCCTTGAAAAAGTGCCTTAAACCACTCTTTCTTGGTCTCTTTCTCATCCCTGGGACACAATACCCAAACCCACAACTTAAAGGAAGAGGTTTACTTTGGCTCATGGTTTTTAGAGGGTTTGGCTGGCCCCAGGACAGGAAGGACATGGTGGAAGGGTCTGGTAGGAGAAAGCTGCTCAGGCCATGGCAGCCAGGGAGCAGAGAGAGGAACAGCCAGGGACAAGAATCCACCCTCCCAGGTCACGCCCCGGGCGACGTACTGCCCAACAGCAAGTCAGTTATGGCGCCCCCATAGTCCAGTACCTTCCAAAAGCCCCGCCTCTAAATACAGGCACTTCTGGGGGACAGTTCTATCTAAACCATAACACACCCATAAATTAGTGTACAGGATATACCTTTTCAGATTCACTGCTACTGACTAACGTGTATGTGTAAAAGTTGGTGTGTGTGGACATGCACAGTACCTGATAAAAACATATGTGACATTCCTAATTAAACTACTCATGAAAGTGAAATGCTCGGTTATGTAGCTCCCCTGCCCTGGACACCTGCCCATAGCCCTCTTCCGGCACAGACATCTTCTCCTGAATCCTTACAACCCCTCCTTTGGACAGGCTCAGCAGAGTTTTTCTGTAAGGGGCCAGAGAGGAAATATTTTTGACTGCATAGGACATAAGGTCATAAGTCCAGAAGGTCTCTGGTACAGATACTCAATTATGCCATTGTGACGTCAAAGTAGCCATAGACGGTATGTAAGTAAATGACTGTGTATGACCGTGTTCCAATAAAGCTTTATTTGCAAAAGCAGGCAGCAGGTCAGATTTGGCCCTGTAGTTTGCTAACTCTTGCTTTTAAAATTTTTATTTTTTATTCACTTATTTATTTTTGGTGCTAGGGATTAGATAACTCTTGGATGAGCAGTGTTACTCTCATTGGTATGAAGCAGTGAAACCAATGAGAAATCAACCAAAGATAGGTGGTTGGCTGTTTAAGGTCACAAGAAGGTAGCATGTCAAGGTGCTGGGTGCAGTGTGTTCCTGGTTGCTGCCTCACTATCATCATCACCACCATCCCATCGGTGTCATTTCGCTGCCCTCATGGCCTCGCCTTTTCCAGGGCAACTCACTGTCAGTCAGGTCACTATGCTCCAGCCCAGGTACACAGTCACCTCGCTGACTCCTTACAGCTGGCCTCCCCTACTTGTCAGACGAGGACACTGAAACCCAACAGACACTGAAACCCAGATTCACCCACTATCGCAGCCCACGGACAGAGGAACTCTGACCTGAACCTCACCATCCAGCTGGAGGCCTGCTGTCCTAACCACTGGGCACACTGTCCCTCGGCCAGGTCCTTACAGCGCAGTCTAAGAGGCAAGATAGCGCAAGACTGCGGGGGAGTCTGAGTGATGCAGCTTTTTAATGTGCCTTGGGCTCCCAGAGCAATTAATAGGGAGATCAGAAGAAAATGATTCCCCAGTGAAGACGGAGATCCCTTCCAGCCAGATGGTGTTACTGAGAAGACCTGGACTTTGGGAAGGAGCCCAAAATGCTG